GTAGTAAGATGCTAAAGAGTTTTACTTGTCTTCTCCGTGCTATACTGCCTTCCCCATGACCTACCTATATTGTGAGTGCTAATTATAATGCTCCTTAATCCCCTTCTCCCTCCATCCTCACCCTCCCTCCCCCACCTCTCCCCTTTGGTAACCCCTAGTCCCTTCTTGGAGTCTGTGAGTCTGCTGGTGTTTTGTTCCTTCAGTTTTGCTTTGTTGTTATACTCCACAAATGAGTGAAATCATTTGGTACTTGTCTTTCTCTGCCTGACTTATTTCACTGAGCTCCATCCATGTTGTTGCAAAAGGTAGGATTTGTTTTCTTTTCATGGCTGAATAATATTCCATTGTGTATATGTACCACATCTTCTTTATCCATTCATCTACTGATGGACACTTAGGTTGCTTCCATATCTTGGCTATTGCAAATAGTGCTGCAATAAACATAGGGGTGCATATGTCTTTTTGTTAATTCCACCTCTGGCCATTGTAGATTACTAGCTTTTGGAGAGGTAAGGAGAGCACAACAGAAGGTCCCAGAAGAGCTGGGGCTGGGCCTGGTTTTCACACCTGCTGGCTGGATGGCATCCCTTCATGGGAAAGCTGTGCTGAGCTCAGGAAAGCTGAGGCCAGAACTGCTTCCTCAGCCCTTACCCAGGGCAGAGCCACCTGCGGAGGCAGTCAGCAGAGCTCAATTTGTGTGCCGGAGAGAGTGCTGATGAGGTCTGGGATAGGAAACATCACTCCTGCATAGGCTGCTAATAAACCTCATTTGTGTAAGTGATTGTAAAACACAATGCAAGACATTTTAGGTACCACTGGTTTGTTTAACAAATTATATTTCTGGAGTCAAACATACAGTTTGTTCCTTGTACATACAAGCATAACACAGATTCTGGCTTGGTTTTGAACAAACTGTACAAGTTTGCTTATTAGAAGCTCCTCAAACTACTGGCAACCAGTAGCTGTCAGGTGGTATAGTTCAGCATAATGAAGGAAGTGGAGGGCTGGCTCCTGCACAAGAAGCTTCAGGCACTGCAGGTAAATCCTGAGACCCATATGCCTACCAGCACATAAATATTAGGGACTTAATGGCATGAGTGCAAGCTTTATTTTTCTTCCTGGAGGGCAGTTGATGTTAAGCAAATTAACATGGGCTTTCTTTTTTTTTTTCCTGGTTAGAATTTTTTTTTTGTATCATTAATCTACAATTACATGAGGAACATTATGTTTACTAGGCTCCCCCCTTCACCAAGTCCCCCCCCACAAGCCCCATTACAGTCACTGTCCATCAGCATAGTAAGATGTTGTAGAATCACTACGTGTCTTCTCTGTGTTGCACAGCCCTCCCCGTGCCCCCACCACCACATTATACATGCTATACATACATGGGCTTTCTTTCGTCTACTCCAGACCCTTGTACTTTACCAGTTGCCTTATTGGTCTGTCCTCCTTAACTCCTAATTAACCACCTTTACACCCACAATTCAAAGACTATAACCTATGGGTTATGGTCTTTCATGCCTTCCTACATATTTTTCTCTCCATTGTTGCACCTTTTCAGCTCCAGGGGGAAAAGGTCTCTTGGCCAGTCTGAATCCTCAGTAGTGCAAGCACCTAACCTAGCACATAGTGGGCATTTGAAAAATGTCGAATGAACACTTGACATGGCCACGTTTGCATAATTTTGCATATCTGGACAGAAGTCAGACGGCTGAGACAGTGACTATCATGGGCTTCCAGGCTTAGTCCACTGTTTATCGTGTTTTAGATTTTAGAGATCTTGTAGGTTTTCTTTCAGAAACAAAAACATCATTTGTTCATTTCAAGAAACTGTTGCTTGTATATAGATAGATTTGTGAACCTGGATGTGCACATGAACTTCAAATTGTACTTTTGTTTCTGTTTTCCTCTGCCAGAGATGGGGGGAAACACCACATTTTTAGCTGCTTCATCTAGCACCTCAAGCATCAGAAGGAAAATGAAAGTGTTGAAATTAGTTTTGGGGCACAGTGCAAAGGAAGGAGCTGTGTACAGTGCAGATTCCCTTGGGAGCTGGGAACTACTGGCTGAGTGGTGAAAAAGGGGTGGCTGAAGCCAAGGAAAACACTGCCCAGGATCACACCTTAGGAGCACCAGGCTCACTGCCAGACATGTGACTCCTTGGCTTTACAAAGGGAGGAATGATAAGCAGAATTAAAGTAAAAATACCATGAGCCACTGGTGATTAAGGGTACTCCCAGTGAGTAAGTTTCTGCAGAAAAACGAAAGATCAAGAAATAGTTAACAAAGAGATATGTCATCAGAAAGAACTCAGGAACACCTATCCACCTCTGTTTAACACATAGAGAGCCTCCTGCAAGCAGTGTTGGAAGAGGGCCAACACAGTTGCATACTTTGCTGGGGGTGATTGGGGGCGAAATGGAGAGAGGGACAGAGACGTGTGCGGACAAGTCCTACTAATCTCTGCCCTTTATGCTCAGGGTCTTCTAACATTTTCAATGCATGACTGGCTCATTATTGGGGGGTTGAGGGAAGGCTATTCATTCCTTTAATAAAAATTGAGTACCTTTGATGTGGTAGGCAATCATTAAGCCCTGGAAGCTCCAATATGAGTAAGAAAGCCACTTCCTCAAAGATCGCATGGTGTGGTCAGGGAGACAGGAAAACAAACAACACATGAGGGATTAGAAAGGAGAACTACAAAGTATGAAGTTATAATAACCCGGTCAACTTTCCCTCGGGTTCAGTAAGAGTTGACCTTTGATCTGAGACCCAAGGCTGAAAGAGAATGGGCAGTGGGAACTGGAAGAGGGGGTGGGCTCGTGGGACAGTGGGGCTGTTTGTGGGAGGGCTGGGGTCTGACAGAGTCAGGAGGGCCAGTAGCATTGAGTTCTACCAGGCTGGAGCGCAAAGGTTCACAGGAACCGCAGCGGGATGGAGGCTGTGCCTGACGGCAAAATGAGTGGCTCTGGAGAAGCCTGAGCTCCTTCCTGGGGCTGCTGGGCAACTGCTGGGAAAGTCTAGCCAGCCTAGCCTGGCACCAGTCCAGTCACCCCTCCCTGTCCCAGATACCAGAGATGTGTGATGTCCATCATCCTGAAAGTGGCCTCCAGCAGTCATTTGGAACCATGCTGAACCCAGAGCTATTTCTCAAGTGTTTCTGGGACTCCCAGTTAGCAGCGATGCAAACAGCAAGTGTCCAGACCAAAAAATGCAGAAACAATACTACTAGTGATGTGCGCCTACTCACTGGGTATTATACTAACAGTCACGTGTGTGGGACACCATCATACGTGCTTTTTTGCTGTATCTTCCCTCCAACCCAAAGAGCAAGGTAGCAGTGGCACTGCAGGTTTACAGGTGACACAGGCTCAGAAACCTTACTATGTGAGTTGAGAGATGCACATAGTAAGTGATGGAGTTGGGATTTGAATTCACTGTGTTTGACCCAGTAAAGAAGTGGCAAAATTAGGATCGAGAAGAAACAAGAAGTGAAGGTGGAAATAAAAAAGTGGAAATAGGAATGAGAATTTTCAGTTGTGGTAAGGGCAGAAAAATGGAGCCCTCCCAACAATCACTGAAGAGTCAGCACTGCAAAGGCTGAAAGGACTTGAGGTGAGGACGGGGTGGAGGGGGGCAGGGGAGGAACATGGGTCCCCAGAAGGTCTGCAGTGCCAGACCCTGAATTCAGGAAAACGGGTATTGAACTTAGTCACTGCACAGGAGCTCTGCAAGGACCATGGAGAGCTCCTAATATGTGGAAACTGAGGCCAGAGGAGAAATGGCTACAGAGCATCACAGACACAACAGAATACAGGCCTCCCTGCTTCCACACTCCCTGCTGACAGCACCCTAGTTTTGCTCTGGGGAACCACTACCTTTGTCTGGCTAAGCCCCTGGGCTGTGGGTCTAGTCAGCTGGGGCTGCTCTAACAAAAATTCCATAGACTGGTGGCTTGAACACCAAACATTTATTGCTCATACTTCAGGGAGCTGGAAGTCCAAGACTAAGGAACCAGCAGGTCTGGTGTCTGGTGAGAGCTGCTCCCTGGCTTGCAGACAGCCGCCCTCTGTGCACTGTCACAGGGAGAAGAGGCATGAGCTCTCTGTGTTATCTCCTCTCCTAAAGGCACTGCCCTCTCATGGAGGCTCCACCCTCATGACCTGGTTGCCTCCCAAAGGCCCCATCTCCAAATACTGTCCCACTGGAGATTAGGGTCTTGATTAGAATTTGGTGGAGAGGGGACACAAATATATAGTTGATAATACACATCTTCAGGGGAAGGCAGTCCGCTAATGCCATTCCCTAATGTGCAAGCTAGGATCCAAGTTACACTAAAGACCCCACACAGCCATCCAGGGTGAACCAGGGGCTTCTGCCACTGGGGTCTGGCCTATGTGGGGCCTCCCCTGCCACCACAGCCAGAGAAAAGCTAGGCTGCGTCCTCAAGAGCAAGAACCAGGGCGGGGAGGGAAACTAGGTGTGAGTGACGCTGCTTCAGCTCTGTGTCCGACTGCACCTAGCCTTTCATTGACCACACCACCCTTTTTGGTTTTGTATTTCGTTCTCCATCCTAACTTTGGGAATAACAGCACTACCCACCTCTCCGGGTAGCTGGGGAGAGGAAATGAGAAGGCGCCTGCGCAGCACTTACAGCAGCACCGGGCACCCAGAAGCGCTCACATACAAACTAGTGTTACTACATTGAGCACCTCAGCTGGGTTTTCTGTCACGGACAATACAAAAGCTGGAGCACATCAGTGACCCGTCACTGCCACCACGCCAGGCTGTATTCACAAGATCACCTATCAGGATTTCTCCCAAGAAGATTAAAGCTTGAGGTTTGTGCACTCAAGGGCGACATGTGGGTTAGACGGAAACCATCTAGACACCCATCTGGATGCCCCAGGCCCAGCGGCCACGCGAAAGCAATCCTCCCTCCTCCCGGTCACTGCAGGGCCGCGCACCCAGGAACCCTTCCGACCCGTCCCTCTCCTCGCCTTCAGGCCAGGAAGACACTCCGGTGGCGGTCCTGGGACGGCAGGCCGGGTCCTGGGGGGCTGAGAGACGAACCCTGGGGGCGGCGGGCCTGGTCCTGAGGGGTGTTAACAGCAAGACTGAAGCTTAGCTGTTGCCATGCACGGACTTAATGATTTGAAGCTCGATTTGCAAATAACAGGTGCACAAAGACACCTTTCACAAAGATTAAAAAGGCAGTTTATTGTGTAAGCGGCAGAGAACAGAAAGCAAAGCCAAATTAGTAAGTCATACCACTAACCCACCGTTCACATCACTGGCGACATACAGCACAGGAATGATACATCATTTAGAAGGTAGACCAGCAGCGAGGAATGCGCGACATCAGCCGCAGGGCCAGGCGCTTGCTAGACAAGGCGCTTTCTGCATACAGGCTCGTTTATACATGTCCTGAACAAAGGTGGCCCTGTGCCAACAGAGTGCGTGACTCACTCAGGAGAGAATCCCGGATCTGGCTAGGAACCGGCGCTCATTTCCTAGTACATATAAACATGTCTGCTCTAAGCAGATGTTCCAGATAAATCGTTCCCGGGAGGTTAGCCAGAACTCCCTGGAACAGGCACGCACACACAGGTCATTCCTTGGTCAAGGAACGTGCAGTCGAGGCAACTCTATTAACCCTGTCTTTTCCTTACAAGGGGCGGCGGGCCAGGTCCGGGAGGACTGCGAGCCGGGTCCCAGGAGGCGGCGGGCCCGGCCCTAGGGGCTGGCGGTGGTCGGCTGGCCCACTTCGCTCGGGTGCGCGCGGCAAGCTGGCCTCAGCGGCTCGGGGTGGTGCTGCTTTCACACGACCCCGGATGTGGGCGGGCACGCGACCCCGCCACGATCCCCAGGCCGGCGGTGATGCGATTTCCGCAGCCAATCGCGTGCGCCCGGCCCTCGCGTCACGGCGAGGCCGACCAACAGCGTGGACCCAGCTCCCGCTTCCTGGCCGCTCTCTGAGCACGGGGGCAGGGCTGGCCCGCGCCCCTGCCCGCGGAGGACCAGTCGCCGCTACCCCGCCCGCCGGCGCCCACGGGGTGAGTGAAGCGGCTACTCGGGGGGTGGGGGTGGCGGTGGGGGCAGCGGAGAGCAGCGGCGCCTAATCCTGCGGCCGCGTTTGTCCTGCACTCGCCAACAGCGGGGAGGGAGGCGCGGTGGTCGCGCGCCCTGCCTCTGGGACTGGGCGCCACCCCCGAGACCCCGGAACGCCGCTGCCGGTGACCCCAGCCCAGCCCTTGCGGCGGAGTGCTTTGGGAAGCGGGTTGCTGGAGCCTGGCGGGTGTAGAGGATCGAGCTGCAAGGAGCCAGTCAGTTTCTCCTGGACGGAGGCGGGAGCAAAATCTGCTTGTCGGGGAATTAGCGCGGCCAGATGGTCAGGGCCCGGCGCGCCGCCCGCGCCCCTTGGGCACGGCCTGTCGCCGTGCACGGAACCGAAACGAAACCAGGCTGACCGGCCCGCAATGAATGGGGCTTGGGGGTGCGGCATGCGTCTTCAGAGTTGCTGGCTCAGGGCAGTGCCTGCGCGGTGCAGCCGGGCGGGCCTGGCTCTTCAGGAAGGACTCAACCAGCATGCACATCTGCTTTCTCCTGCCTCTTTGGACCCTGATGTCGCCTCAACAGCCCCTACAATTGGCAGGCAGTATGCCACCTAGGTAGCCATAGCTTTCTGTTTGCGCAGGGGGAGGGAGTGACAGCAGAACCCTTTCAGGAAGGAGCCCTCAGGCCGACTGGGAAGTAAATGTTTATTCTCCTTCTGTACTACACTCTCATGCCACTCTTGCTGCCACCTTCATTTGGGGACCTCTTGGTCATTGAAAGGATCTCCCAATAAGCCTGTGCAGGAAGGCAGATGGCTCCGACGGTGGTGAGCAGGCCTTGTTGGCTTGGAATGACTCAAGGTCCAACTGGAATTCACGGTGCAGAAGTTAGTGAGTCAGAGGTTGCTTTCTTGGAAGATGTTCCTTCCATCCCTTCACCCCCACAAAACAAAGGAAATCTCAGGATTCCAGAATCATGGGACTTAATGCTCCAACTTCCCTTTTAAGAGTCCTCTGACCCAGTGACCCTGGAGAGGTCACTTCACAGCCAGGAAGTGGCATGGGAGGAGCTGGGGCGGCATCCTGGCAGAGGTGGAAAGGAGGTGCAGCTGACCAAGAATGTTCACCAGGTGTCACATCTTTAGCTGGGAAATGACAGGTGGCCAGGTCTCTACTCTGAAGGATGTTTGCAAAGATACTCTCCCAACCCCATACATTCTCTGCAGGAAACTCTGTTGTTAGCTGCCCAGAACGTTCAATTATATCTGTGTGGCAATTACTGTGTAGTCATTTCTCTAAAGGAAAGTATCAAACTCAAGTCAAAGTCCTTATTCCCTGAGCTTGAGGTTTAGGTTTACCTGCAGACAGCCTGACTTAACTGGTTGCTTATACAGGAACTGTGAACTGAGGGGCATTTTCAAAGAAGACTGGATTTATGTTAAAGTGGCACTATATAGGAACCAACATTCCTGCTCCTGCCCCCCAACACACAAACCTTACTTTATTCTCCAACAATTCAGAATGAGGATATTCAAACATGCAGCCAAATTGAAAGAGTTATACAGTGAACACACGCATACATTACCCACCGCCTAGATTCTGCTATTGACATTTTACAATACTTGCTTTATCACACAACTGTCCATCTATTAGGGCCTGACTTCTAACCTTAACTAATTGATGTCATTTGCTTCTCTGGAGCAGCATTTCCATCTCAGCTCAGGTAGGCAGCAGAGTGGTGGATAGGATGTAATGGCAGTATTTGTAAGCTTTGGTGCTGTGTGCAGGGCATGGTTAGGTACTGAGGAAATGAAGACTCAGGCTGAACAGATAAGGGAGTTGACTTTTTTTTTGTTCTGAGAGATGGAAGGTAAGTGGTAGTTTGCAGTAACAATTACCCAGTAATAATATGACATTGATAACACCCCTTGAGGTTTTGCCGGGTACCGAGCACTGTTTATTGTCAGTTCTGTGCCTGTATTATCTCACTTAATTCTCAAAACAACTAAGAAGATCACGATTCCTTTCTAACCTTTACAGGTTTGGGGAATTGGGACCCAGAGAGGTTAGTCGCTGGCTTTTGGTGGTGCCAGAAAGTGATGAAGCCAGGATCCAAATTCCAACAGTCTGGGGCTGGGTGGCCCTGGGCACTGAGTCACAGTGTAGCTGCCAGAGGCAGGCGGTGGACCCCAGGCCTGACCAGGCAGGAGCAAGGGGGTTTCGGGGTGGCCACAGCTCTTCCAGCGACTCTGGCTCAGGCCCTGGATGCCGATGCGAGTTTCCGAATGGCTCTGGAAGGCTGGGGTTCTGGCTTGTCATGTGTTGAACAGGCCCTGGTGTCCATGTAGGTCAAGGTTGTGCACAGACCCCCCTGGGGCTTGCTCCATTCTGCTGGTCACCTCCCTCCTTTCACTTCCCTTCTCCCTTTTTCTTGTTCACTTGGTCATTTCCGTTCCAGCCCCATGCTTGCTCTCCATGGTGTTTGTAAGACATGCTTTGTTCTAAGGAGCTCACTTGCCTGTGGCACATGCCCTGTTGCAGACGCATTCCAGCCAGGTCCTCATTCCAGCAGCCATGCTTTCTGAAGCGCAGAAGCAGAGCAGCCTGACCCAGCCTCACGGCGCCCAGACTCCATCTGTCTCCTGGTAGTTCCAGCTTCGAACCAGACTGGCTGTGTCCTCACCTTCAGTCTCTTCCCTCCATCCTGGCCCTTGGGCAGTTTTTGGTCTGGATGTGGGAATCAGACCTGTCAGGCAGAGCCTCTCACTGTGATTCCCCTGCCACCCACACCCAGCCAATCTGTTTTGCTGCCATGGGTCCGGCCGTGTGGCCCTGCCATGGTGGGAAGCCTGTCCCTGCCAGAAGCCAAGGCTCCAGGAGCAGTGGCGCCATCAGCTTTGGGCACGTGGGGGTGGCCAGTGATAAGGCTTACCCATCCCCTTGCCCACCCCACAGAGCAGAAGGGAAGAGGAGAGAGTTCAGAGCGGTACAAGGAGAGGAATGGAGAGAGAGTGGTGGACACACAAGGAGGGTGAAGACAGGCCCTCATCCCCCTCCTCACAGCCGCATGGCCATGCAGGGCTCTGGGCCCATCCATGCAGGTGTCCCCACCAAACCCACAGGACTGCCGCGGCTGGCCCAGGATAAGGGAGGGGCTGCCCACCGCACCACAGGCCTCCCGGGGAGGCAATGGGGTGGGCATATGCTTTGAGACTAGTCAAATCTGTAACTTTTCCTTTATGATTTTGAAAAGATCTTGAAGTACGACCAAATAATAGCAGTCATTACATTTGGGGAGTAGATACTTGAATGTTCCATTTCTGCTCTGTACATTTTTGTATCTCTCCCCAAAGAAATCCCCACCATTAAAGGGCAGGAAAGGCAGAGAATGACAAAGGGCCTCACTGGGCAGCGGGAGCTGGCGGGGATAGTGACCACCCTTTGCTGCTCTCCGCAGCCACAGCCACCATGCCCAACTCGGTACTGTGGACCGTGGACCTCTTCGGGCGGGTGTACACGCTGTCCACGGCAGGGCAGTACTGGGAACTCTGCAAGGACCCCCAGCTGGAGTTCAAGCGGGTCAGCGCGGCCACGCAGTGCTGCTGGGGCATCGCCTGCGACAACCAGATCTACGTGTACGTGTGCTCCAGTGACCTCCCCATCCGCCACCGGGAGGAGGCCTATGAGAATCAGGTGGGGTCAGTTTGTGGGTGGCGGGGTCGGTGGGTCTGCCAGGAGGTAGAGCCCCCAGCCCCAGGCTTCTGGCCCCCTCCCACATTCGTTTCCTTCATTTCACTTACAGTCCGAATTGTGGAGGGTCCAGAGTGTTTTGGGTCCGAGACCCTGTTGTGTCCTACAAAGGCAGGCTGGCCAGGCCTGCACAATGGGGTGCTCCAGGCAGCATCCAGGAGCGCAGAACAGGGCCGTGCCTTCCCCAGCCTGTCCCTTGGGGCCCTATGTCCTGCAGCAGGTTCTCTGTGCTTCGGGCCAGGTTGCTGTACTGGCTCCTGATGAAGAGCACAGGGGTCACTGATCCCTGAGTTCCAGGCAAGCCCTCTGCTCACTTCCCATCCTGGGAAGTGGAGGGTCCTGCTGGCCCCAGAGAGGCCCTGCTACTGCAGGTCAGCTGCAGGCCTGAGGCCCGTCTCTGCCTCCTGGCCCCCAGCGTTGGAACCCTGTGGGTGGCTTCTGCGAGAAGCTCCTACCCAGTGACCGCTGGCCATGGAGTGACGTGACTGGGCTCCAGCACCGGCCGCTGGACAGGGTGGCGCTGCCCTCACTGCACTGGGAGTGGGAGTCGGACTGGTACGTGGATGAGAATTTTGGAGGGGAGCCCACTGAGAAAGGGGTAGGTGAATCTGTTTCCCACCGCCATTCCCCTGTGGGGAGGGGGCACTCTGGGCTGGCCGCTCCCCCTGCTCCCTTAGTGCCCATGGCATCCACCTCAACCTGTGCCTGGCTTGCTCCCCATGGTCCCCCCCACTTGTGTCTGGGCCCCAGGGTGGGAGAGCCGGTGCTTTGCTTTGGGCCGTGTTGCTGTCTTCCTCCCTCTGAGCTTCCCTGCTGCCCCCTCCCCAGCTCTTTCAGTTCCTACCCTGAGAGCCTTATAGAGCCCCCTGCCCTTGCTGTGTAGGGGTGGACATATGCCATCGACTTCCCTGCCTCATACACACGAGACAAGAAGTGGAATTCTTGTGTGCGGCGCCGGAGATGGATCCGGTACAGGAGATACAAGTCCCGGGACACCTGGGCCAAGGTCTCCAGCTTGAGTGTGGCCTGGGGCGGGCAGGGCCCTCGCCCCCATCTGCCCCAGCTGTGCCCAGGGACACCATGTCCACCCTGGGACCTGGCCTGTGAATTGTCTCCTGTCCCGGGAACACCATGGCTCTGTGTGTTTCTTCCTCTGGGAGTTGGGCACGTGGGGAGCCAGGCCGAACCGTGGGCCAGCATAGCACAGACCTCGTCCTGACCCTGGTCTCCGGGCCACCCTGTCCCAGACAGGCTCAGACTGTGCATTTCTTCCCCAGACCCCGTAGAGGCCACACTGGCTCCTGTATTGTTCCTGTGACCTAGGAAAAAACTCCCAACTCAGGGCCTAGACTGGGTTCCTGTGTGGCCTTGAATAAGAGAAAGGCCTCAGCCCTCACCAGACCTCTCTGGAGGCTTCATGCTGTTGGGTGGGGCTGCCAGGCCAATGTTCCTGCTCCTTGGGCTGGGAACAGCCTGGATAGCAAGATAACAGCCGATGCCTCTGAGGCCTTACGCTACAGGAGCATGTTCTGTGATCACCTGTTTCTAAGTGAGAGGTTGGAGTAACAGCAGTCGGGCCACTGCAAAGCACAGAGCTGAAACCTCACGTGTGCCCCTGCCTTTCATGCTCAGGGACAGAGCCCAGACTTGATGGCTGGTGGAGGGAGGACAGGGCAGAAGGGACTGAGGGCCAGGAGTCCTCTGTCCTGATGCTGTCTTCTCTGCATAGTCAGAAGGCAGCATGCTGAGAGCAGGGGTTGTGTGGGGGCATGCACACTGGCATACCTGGGAGGGAAGAGTGGCATCTATGGGTCCAGGTGCCCTCAGGTACTGACTGCCACTGGCGCCTTCATGTTTCAGATCCCTTCAAAGGATGACCCCAAGCAACTGCCTGACCCCTTCAGTGATCTCTCTGTTGGGGGGTGGGAGATCACAGATGGGCCTGTGGGCCACCTGTCCGTGTGGGCCGTATCCCTGCAGGGAGAGGTAAGGCCTGGGGGGTGGCTGCGGGAGGCCAGCCACAGGAGGAGTGGGCAGGAGAGAAGCTGGCCTTCAGTGTCCTTCCAGAGATGCAGGAAGGAGGAACCTGCTCCTGAGACCTTCTCCAGGCCTCCTGCAGCTGGGGCTGCCCTGAGCCGGCAGCATGTTACAGGGTCCCCACATCTCCTCCTCCTGTGAATCCTGTCCTGTGGGCCCACTGGGTCCTGTCCTTCCCTTGAGCCCCTGGGGCACTCACTGATCAGGGCCTACCCTGGGCTCTGCTGCCATCACTGTTGCCTCCTCAGACAGATTCTGAGCCCCCTCCAGCTCCCTGCAGTGCTCCAGTATATCGCAGTGGGTGGGTGGGTGTTTAGCAAGGGAAGGACATCCTTCTCAGGTGTTTGTGAACTGAGCAAAGGAATAAAACCAACCCCAGCCAAGGCAGCAGTGACACGATGGTCCTGCGTGTGGATGAGCCAGCGCTTGTCATTGTTTTAGAGCACACTTTGCGACTGTGCAGTCCCCTACCACACACCGACCAGAGGTCTCCAGGTGGCTTCAGAACAGCCACAGCAGGTTTTTAGCAGGCTCACCTCTGGGGTCCTATCTGACCTGGGCTTAGGCCCACCCCCAGGTGTTTGTGTTGAGCCATGCTGAAGGGTGGTGGGGAGCTGGCCAGGGACAGAGCCCCCATTGGGGCACAGACAAGGGCAGATGGGGCACAAGAACTGTTGTCAGCGTCACCATGTGCTGCCGTAAGCCTGCTTCGCCTGTGCCAGTCTTGTGGCCCTGAACTGTGTGACCAGGACCTTGAGCTCCAGGGGCAGCTGGGGAGGCAAATGGGCCCCCAGATCCAACAGGGAGACCGCCAGGCCTGGTTCTGCAGTACAGGCTGTAGGGTGAGGTGACGGCGTGGGGAGGCTCTGGTCCCCCGTGTGGAGACAGCTTCTGGGAGAGGGTCCCGGCCCTCCCATCCATGGAGCAGGTGCAGCCCGCCCCCTCCAGATGAAGTGACCTAACAGTTTGGGCAATATAAGTGGGTGGCTCAGTCTAAAATATTTTTTTTGCTTTCTCTCTTCAGGTTAAAGAGAAAAAGAAGTGGGCATTATAGACATTCGTAGGGGGTTAATGGGTGTTTTCCAGTTCCCACCAAGGACAAGGGCTTCTTCTAGCAACGGTGTCCTGGGAATGTGCCGCCACTAGGGGGCGCCAGACACCGGACTGGGGCTGGAGTTGTCACCGGGGAAGCCGTTCTCACCCGCACATGATCAGAAATCTGTCCCCTGGGTCCACCAAAATCCCAGTCCCATTTTTTAGAAGGGTGGGGCTGGGTCATATAATCTTGTGCGAAGATCCGGACTGCCAGGGAACCCTGGGCCCTGGGCCCCCGGGCGCTCCCCACTGGCCTGACCCCACCTGACCCTCTCTACGGGTTTCTCTCGCCACCAGGTGTGGTACAGAGAGGATGTCAACCATCCGAACCCCGAAGGCTCATCGTGGTCCCTTGTGGACACCCCGGGGGAGGCTGTCCAGATCAGCTGTGGGCCCCACGACCTCCTGTGGGTGACGCTCTGGGAGGGGCAGGCCTTGGTCCGGGAAGGAATCAACAGAAGTAACCCCAAAGGTGGGCAGCCCTACCCCTGTGCCCCGAGACGCGAGGGTGCCGGCTCCTCCCCAGCACCCCCTGATGCGGCCGCCGGCGCTCTCTCCTGGGGCTCGGCAGGAAGCCGCTGGTCCGCCGTGGAGCCTCCCTCGTCTGAGAACGCGATCCTGCACGTGTCCGTGGGGGTTGGTGTGGTCTGGGCCGTCACCAAGGACCAGAAAGTAAGACGGGGTCGCTGGCGTCTGGGTGTGAGGGCTCCGTGGAAGGTGGAGGGTTGTGAAACCGGCTGCAGCCCAGCCCCACGCGTGTTCTGTTGTTGACGTGGGTGACCTGCAGGATTTGGTGCCTGCAGAGTGGCCTGGGGCCAAGTAGGACCCACTGCATTTACCCCGCCATAGGCCCCAAGATTTCAGATAATTGGAAGCAGGGGCCCTCAGCAGACTGGGTGCTTCCCGTGGTCATGTCCGTGCTTGTCATTTTTACTTGATAAGAGGCAAGTCCAGTACAGTAAGCAGACTTCAAGATGCTCCTGGGATCTCTTCCTAACCCCAAGTCTGTACCCAGTGCTGAAGGGCCCTGAGCCCTAGGCCACACCCCAGCTTGAGAAACAGGTTGACACTCCCCCCTGTGAGCCCCCAAGCACCCCACTTCCCAGAGACCATGGCCTCTAAGCCCCTCTCAGAGCAACAGAAATAAATGAGCAGGACATATGAATTATATGAGCAGTTGGCTCAGTCTTCAAATATTTGTGCAGGTTTTCTTTGGGGGAAGGAATGTTTTAGATGTTCTAGAAGTTTTTATTAAAGGATTTGAGGGTTTTCTCATTTAATTGTCAACCCCCTCATCGCCACCCCACCTTGGGAATTGTGGTTAAATGTGTGTGCTCATGACACACAACCCTATAGTGGGGCTGAGAGCTGATGGCGCCCTCCCCAGGCACCCACCCAACATGGGCACTGGCAGTTGTGGGGAGCATATTGGGCGCTGGTTGGTGTGGCGGGGAGGCAGTGTGACTGCCAGGGGAGCTGTGGAGCCACAGATAGGCTTGAGGACATTTGGATTGTTTGACATGCTGACAAGAATAAAATTAGGCTTAAAGACACTATTTCATAAAGCACTAAGAATAGGCCCTAATATATTGTAATAATGAGTTTAGAAAAGTGGTTTTTTTTAAAATAACATCTTTAAAGCCGTTACTTATGTAGAGGCAAACGGGGTAGGACAAAGTGGCCTTTTTTAAGTGTCAGGGTCAATGCGGGTGGGACATCACTGGTCAGGCTCAAAGCACAGTGTCTGGATTCGAGATGCAGTAGTCTATCTGTGACACCCCACAAGACATCCCACCTCCAGCTCTACTGTGCAGTGAAACAGGCGACATCTGCTGACACTGCCTGGTGCCAGGAGGCTCTGAACTGGCAGAGAGAAGAAGGTTCTAGAAAGATGCAGGCAGCTTGTCTCCTGGAGGGGTAACACCCTCAGCCAGAGAATGGATGGGAACCCAGGACAGAGGGCTGGGCTGCCAGGCCCAGAGGGAGGTGCAGCAGGGTGTGGGGAAGAGGGACACCAAGAGGTCTCCTTTCTAAATGACATATGAACGTAAGGATCAAGTTCTTATTTGTCCTGAGCCTTCAAAAAGCCCTTCCATGTCAGTGGCCCTCCAGGAGCACTTTGTTTCTGACTTTCCCAGGTATGGTTCCGGAGAGGCGTCAACTCTCACAATCCTTGTGGCACTGGCTGGATCGAGATGGTTGGAGAGATGATGATGGTGAGCGTGGGGCTGAATGACCAGGTGAGCACGCAGTTCTGAGCCTCAGCTCTTGGGCCAAGTGGGCAGCTCGTGAGCAGCAGGGGGCAGAATGGGGGCTCCTGACACTTTCTCAGAGGCGGGGCAGGGCCCAGCACCCAGTGCGCGCACGCTCCCAGCTTGCGAGGACCCAGGGGCTGGCTTCACCAGGGTCCCAGAGCCCTGCCTGTCCCAGTTACTCCCACAAAGACCTCAGAGCAGTGGTGTGAGCAGGGGTCTTGGGGAGGGACACAAATCCCAGAGGCTAGGAAGGTTTTGTTTGAGAACTTTTTGGCCAAAGTCAGATCAGCAAGCAAGGGTGATGGACCTTTCCAACTCTGCAGAGGCAGCGTCTCTCACATGTGCCTCTGTAGCATGTGCACCGCAGCCTCCTCACAGAGGAGGTTTGGTTACTTTAAGAGTCAAGGTGTGAAGGTGACACCTTTCCTGCTGTGCTGGTGCCTCTGGAGATGCTTGCCTTCCCTGCGCCCCTGTGCCCGCCTCCTGCATCCCACTAGCCCTGGCAGCTGGGCATGCAGTGGTCCAGGAGAGATAGGGCTGCTGGTACACATGGGGTCAGCCTGCCACAGCCAAGTGACATGGCCCTAGGATGACGGCTCTGCCAGCCCTTCGGGCAACCCCCCCAGCCTGCTCCCTCGGTCCCCTGGGCCCTTCAGCTGCCTGGCACACCCTCCTTCCTCAGCCCCCATGGGCAGAGGGGAGGACCGCTGCTCTGCCACCTTTCCCATAGAAAACGGCTCACCTGGGGAGCATCTTCCTTCCCCCCAGAGGCCACATGGAAGACCAGGACATGGGTGGTCTTCATGTCCCAGCACAGTACCCACCACTTCTGGACTCTGTCACCCCAGAGCCCCAGATCTGCCTGAGGCCAGAGTCTGGATGGCATCCCTGCTTCTCTGGAGCTTGGTGCTCCCCACCCCCAACAAACAGCCCCTTCTGGGCTCTGCTTCCTGCTTTTGACTTGTGTACCCACCTCACATCCATCCCAGGACCTTCCCAGCTCTGACACGCAGGTGTATACCTGCACCCTGCTGCGTGTCTCCAGCTTTGGGGTGCTCTCCCCTACCCCGTCCTGCCCCCACACTCCCGAAAAGAAAGGGAGCCTCCCACCCAGCAGGCTCTCTCTGTGCCAGGTCTGGGGCATTGGCTGTGAGGACCGGGCCGTGTACTTCCGTCAGGGCGTCACCCCGAGCGAGCTCAGTGGGAAGACATGGAGGGCCATCATCGCCAGCCGGGAGTGTGACCGGTCGCACTCCGGCAGCTCATCGAGCCTCCTCAGGTGATCTGGGGACAGCAGGGCAAGGGGCAGTAGGCTCGGGAAGGTTGCCGGAGGCCTGGGTGGGCGGGGTCCAGAGGAGAATCTCAGCGGGGCACTGGGCCTCGTCCCTGGCAGAAAAACTAGGCTCTGACCCTTAGGGACTGTGGCCCGTGGGGCCTCCCCACTTCCCGTGCCTGGCATTCCCCGAGGCTGGCCCACGGGAACAGGCAACGGGAGGTGGGAGGTGACAGGTGAGTGAGGCTGGGAAGTCTGTCCATGTTGGAGCCAGGTGTGTTCACAAACAGGGCTGGCCCATTGGTTGTGAGGTCTCAGGTTTGGGAGAGGAGAGGCGTCTTTGTGGGATGGCTGCCTGGGACCCTCTGTCAAAGGACAGCAAGGAATGAGGCGCAGGTCTATGGTCTAGAGCAGGGCCTTCAAACTTGGTCGGGCCCCAGAAGCAGCCAGAGGGCTTGTTCCTACACAGCTTCCCAGGCGTGGAGCTTCTGTTTCAGTAGATCTGGGCGGGCCCTGAGCTTCGGCATATCCTGCGAGGTCCCAGCTCTGCCCACCAGTGGTCAGAGTGCAGACAGGCGACTCAGCATCTCAGCTGGGGATGCCCCAGCCCTACACACAGCGTACTGGTGGTCCTTACCCGCCAGGCCGGTTGTGAGGCTCATGGGTCCTTGGTACAGTGCTGGCCACGTTCCTGTCTGCAGCTTGGGCCCTCCCCAGGCCCTGCTGGACACCCGTTTGCTCCTCCAGCTTGGTGGGCATCCCTACCACACCGTCAGCCCAGAGGGCTGGGAGCCCGCTGGCTGGTGTTTGCTCACGTTTACCTGAGGATTTACGCCCCTCAGCTGATCATTCTCAGACCGCACAGCACATCGGGATCAGCTGAGGAGCTTCTCATCTACTGGTGCCGAATCTTTCTCACCTTGTATTTGGCAATGGCTTCTTTGGATGACACCAAAAGCACAGGAAACAAGGAAAAATAGAGACATTGAACTTCATCAAAATGAAAACCTTTTGTGCAACAAAGGACACCTTCAAGAAAATGAAAAGACAAGAATGGAAGAAAAGAATTGTAAATTACTTGGCAAGGGTCAAGTGTCTAGAATTTGTAAAGAACTTTTCCTCGGCAACAAAAAGGCACACAAGTCCATTGAAAAAGGGCAAAGGACTTGCATAGACTTTTCTCCAGAGCAGTTACGGGAATGGCCAGCACACACGACAGACGCTCAGCACTGGTCACCAGGAAATGCAAATCAAACTGGGACCTCTTTCATCAAAAAGAAAGACAACACGTGTTGACAAGATGTGAAGAAATAAGAACTGTGTACATTGCTGGTGAGAATATAAAACAGTGCAGCTACTTTGGAAACCAGCCTGCCAGTTCCTCTGGAAGTTAAAGTTACCCTAAGACCCAGCAGTTTCACCCCTATATATACCCAGAAAACTGAAAACAAATGTTTAAACGAAAATCTGTACATGAATGTTTGCAGAAGCATAATTCACAACAGCCAGAAGGTGGGAACAACTCACATGTCCGTTGATGGATGAACAGATAAATAAAACATATAGCCATACAACAGAATATTATACGGCAATAAAAAGGAATGAAGTGGTGATACACACTACAGCATGGATGAGCCTGGCGTCATACTAAGTGAAAGAAGCCAGTTGTAAAAGGTGACATGTTTGATGCCATTCCTATGAAGTGTCCAGAATAGGCAAATCTACGGAGACAGAAAGCTGACTGGTGTTTGTCAGGAGGCTGGTGGGAAGAGGATGGAGAGTGAGTGGGGCAGGGTTTCCATTTTGGGTGGTGAGAAAGTTCTGGAAGTAGGTAGTGGAGATGGTTGTACAGCATTGTGGGTGTACCTGAGGCCACTGCATTGTATGGTATGAAATGGTATATTTTATATCATAACTTGTGCCATAATAAAAAAGTAATATTGCCAGATCTCCCCCCCACCCCCAGATATATTGACCTGATTAGTCTGGGACGTGGTCTGGGTGTCCCGCTCCCTGGGAAGCAGGGGTTCCCACGTGCTACAGAGAAGCTGTGACTGCCGGGAGGTGCAGGCCGCCAGCAGTGGAGTGCATGAGCCCGGCCTGCCCACCGCAGTGCCCAAGGGAGTTATGGGTCTGCCCCTCCCGTCTCCAGTGCTGGCTGCTTCTTCGGTGAAGAGGTGAGGGGCAGTGGTGAGTCCAGTGTGCCCAGTGATATGGATGCCTCCTCGGAAGCTGAGAGACCAGGGCCTGGCCCACCTGACCCTGCCAAGTCTTTGGACAGTCCCAGGAACCCCAAGGCTTGCTTAGCCTCGGGCCTAGATACCCCCAGGACTGCAGAATGTGCCCTGGGGGTTGTCCACCCAGCCACCGAGACCCTCAGGCCTGAGCTTCGCCCTGGCCTGGCCTCCACCCCAGCCGAGCTGCCCTGGACCAATATTGACCTGAAGGAGCCCAAGAAAGTGCCTGGCCCCTTGGCCGCTGGCTTTCCTGAGAGCACAGGCCTCTCCTCGCTAGCACTGCTCCCGCTGGGCTTGGAGGAGGCCTACAGTGCCGACGACCACCCACCGTGGGCCTGGGTGTCAGGAGGAGGCTGTGCCGTGGAGGCCCACACTGCGCTCAAGTGGTTCACCGTCCAGTCAGGTAAGGGCGGGCGTCAGGGGCCCAGTGCTCCTGGGGGAGGGGAGCAGGCCCGCTGTCTGGCCTGAGCCCCTGCCTTTGCTCAGCCTTCTGTCTGTCATCTTCTGGGACCAGCGGGGGCTGTGGGAAGGAAAGGCTGTGGCAGGACGGCCCTGCCCCTCCCGTCTCCTTTTGTCCTGGCCGTGGGGGCTGTTTCCCAGGCTGAGCTTTCCATCAGGGTGAATGTGCAGGGAGGGGCCAGGGCATCTCACAGAGTTAACAGCTTTCTAACAGCAAAGGGCTGATTTACACAAAACGAAAGAGCCTGGCTTGCAGTCCAGCTGTGGGTGGGCAGGCCCGGCCCTGAGGCTCTGTCCCCTTGCAGGCCTGTCCCCCTCGCTGCAGACGTTCTCCTTGTCCATCACACCGGCCCAGACTGCCGCTTGGAGGAAGCAGATCTTCCAGCAGCTCACGGAGAGGACCAAGCGGGAGCTGGAGAACTTCCGGCACTACGAGCAGGCCGTGGAGCAGGTGGGCGCCCCATACGCCTGTTCTCACAGACATTTGAGTGCCTCCTGTATGCCCTGGGGCAAGAAGCAGGTGGCTGCATGCACCCCTCTGTCCATGTGTCTATCGTGCAAAGCCAACCCTTGCAGGCTGTTGTGGAGCCCATCTCTTTATTCACCTGCCTTAAGAATTCTGTTTGGGCCCCACTGGGCCAGGAACCCAGACAGCAAAGCAGCCTCAGCGGGAGGTGTGAAGTGGGGGCCCATGTCGCCCTCTCTCCAGTGGAGGGCACCCAGGTGCCAGACGGCAGGGCACTTTACTGAGACGATTGAGGACAGGGTTGAGGGGGTTCCAGACCCCCTCAGGCTGAGCCTCACCCCTGGAGGGCCACAGGCTGGGAGACAAGTCACATGAAATATGTGGCCAGTTTTGTTGGGAGGACCTGGCCGCATCTCGGCTGGGGGCACAGAGGCATCTCCTGGGCCTCCAGAGACAGGCAGGCCGAGTGTGGTTTCCTGCTCTGCTGCTGGCCCACTCCGTGATGGGGGGCCGGGCACAGAACTCAACTGAGCCTCGGTTTCCCCATCCAGAGTGCGGGGTAGCAGTGCTGGTCCTGTGGGCTGTTTGAGATTCAGGAGCCCACCCATAAATGGCCCTGGCTCGGTGCCTGGCACCTTTCGGGGGTCTGATAGCTTTACTTCTGCTGCTGGGTGAACTGGGGGAGCTGGGTGCCTGGGACTGGGTGCACCCAGGGAAGAATCGGGGGCCCTGGGGCCTGCCTGACATGTCCCCACTGCCCCCGGGGCTGTGCCACAGTCTGTGTGGGTGAAGACAGGGACCCTGCAGTGGTGGTGCGACTGGAAGCCCCACAAGTGGGTGGACGTCCGTGTGGCCCTGGAGCAGTTCACAGGGCATGACGGGGTTCGGGACAGCATCCTCTTCATCTACTATGTGGTCCATGAGGAGAAGAAGGTGTGGTGGGTGCCCAGGGGACGGGGTGCAGAGGTGGGCACAGGGCATGCCTGGGACACCAGACCTGAGGTGCAGAGCCCAGGACCTGTGTGGCATCCACAAGGTGCTGGCCTGTAGTGACCGCAGTCTGGTCTGTGGAATCGGGGGTGACCCAGGCTATCTCGGTCTGCCCACCATGGCAGGGCCTCTGCACAGAGGCCTGCTGTGCCCCCAGCCCTGTGGGTCCACTCTGCCCGGGGACAGCCCTGCCTCTGTACACAGTACATCCACGTGTTCCTCAACGAGGTGACGGTGCTGGTCCCCGTGCTCAATGAGGCCAAGCACTCCTTTGCCCTCTACACCCCCGAGAGGACCCGGCAGAGGTGGCCTGTGCGTCTGGCTGCTGCCACCGAGCAGGACATGAATGACTGGGTGAGTGGGTGGTGGTCCCTACGGGACGGGTGGGGGTCAAGGGGCAGCCGTTTTGGGCTGGCTGGCCTCAGCCTGCCACCACCCTCATTCCCGGCATAATTGGCCGTCTCTCTGTTCCAGCTTGCTCTGCTCAGCCTGTCCTGCTGCGAGAACCGGAGGGTGCATGGCCGCCCCTCCCCACAGGCCATCTGGTCTGTCACCTGCAAGGGGGACATCTTCGTGAGTGAGCCCAGTCTGGACCTGGAGGCACCTGAGCACCCACTACCCTGTGACCAGATGTGAGTCAGCCACGCCCCACTAGGGCCTCCTGACCTGAGCGAGCAGCGGGACCTGGGGCTCCAGGAGGGGGGCCTTACTTCTTCACTTCCTACCGGTTAGCCGCGGGCAGGACTGGGCTTGGAGCTGGTCAGCCCTTTCGAGCCACCACCGTGTGTCAGGGTGTGAGCTGGGCATGGCTTTTTGGGTGGGATCTAAAGCCAGGAGATGAAATGAGACCACCCACAGTGAGCAGTGTGAGCACAGGGGGATTTCTGGGCCGGCTGGCGTTTCTGATGAAGCAGAGGGGGACCCACCAGGGGACGTGGGGCTACCCCCAGAAGGTCCCCAGAGCCTGCGAGGACCAGGGGACGTAGGGGATACCAGGGTGCCCACCAAGGAGGGGCGAGTGGGTGTGTCTGTCGCCCTTGGCACATCCACTCTTGGTGGCCCTGTGGGCCTGGAGCCCAGGCCAGCGAGTCAGACCACCTCCGGTGATGGTGGCAGGGCCTGGCCCACAGGAGGGTGACTCAGGTCACAGCTATGCCCTGCGCCCTGCCTGCCAGGGGTCCATGCTGTCACCATGCGGCCTTTTGATGACATTCTTTCTGTCTGCTGGCCCACAGTGTGGCTCATCCAGCAGATGAGTAACCTCTCTGCGGGTCAGGCTTGTCCCAGACCCCAGCAGCGGTGTGAAACGGGGGCTGCTGGCTTTGCCCCAACCCCTGCCCCAAGTCTCCTATGCAGACTCCTGGCCCCCTGGTTGATACCAGGGGTGTGGGAAGCCAAACAGGTCCCATCATCCTTCATAAAGTCTATCATTTGGGACCAAAGACGAGTGAGGTGGACATCGGTGGGAGGCTGAGGCACCGGCGGCATAGGCCAGAAAGCCCTGTGGGGATGTGCTTCTCCCACCCTCTCCCTGCACTCCAGGTTCTGGCGGCAGATGGGAGGCCACTTGCGGGTGGTGGAGGCCAACGGCCGGGGCGTGGTGTGGGGCATTGGCTACGACCACACGGCCTGGGTGTACACTGGCGGCTACGGTGGAGGCTGCTTCCAAGGTGAGGGTGGCCCGCCCACCGAGGGTGGTGGGACCAGCTCCCCAAACCCTGCCCACGGCCTTCCTGGGCCATTCCCTCCTCTAATCCCGTCCGACTTGCCCTGCCCCACACCGGAGCCGCTGTCCCAGTGTTGACACTTAGCTGACATCAAGCTGACAGGTGACCTTCACCACTGCCAGCCTCTGCAGAGGACAGTCCCTGGGCCAACTCATTAGGCCTTGCCTCTGACATGCCTTTCAGGGTACCCACAGCTGGGCCAGAGGCCTTGAAGTTTCTAGAAGAGCAGCTATGAGGGCTTCCCTGTGTCCAAGCACTCATTTCACAGACAAGGCCTCAGGGCACACTGGGGCCACCCAGGACCTGGGTCTCCTGATCCCCAGGCCTAAACACTAGCCCCCTCATCAGGTGGGTCATGCCTTAGGGAATGAGAGCTTGCCGGAACCCTATGGGCTCCCCAAGTTCTGGGAGGCAGAAACAAACACATACAGAAAGCCCCATGCCAGAGCCCACACCCCATAGGGACAGCTAACCCTGTAGAACTGTGTATGGTCCACTAAGACTGCAGAAACACATCTGTGCAGGCTTAACAGCTTCCCCCCGTGAGGCAGCAATGACCTTTGTCCCCGTTTTACAAATGAAGAAATTAGGGCTTATTGGGGTTCTGTGAGCATTCCTAGAGGGTCAGCTGGTTGGGCCTCACACCTGCCTAGTGCCAAGTGCCTGGGACGGCTGGAGTGCAGCCACGAGCAGGTGAGGCAGAGGGGCTGGAGGTGGTGTGCATGGGAGATTTACTGCTTCTCATCCGGGTTGTGCAACCCCAGGATAATCAGAGAAACTCAAGCCAGGCCAGCCCCTGCAAGATAAGCTCAGCAGGCCCGTGAACACCGCCCCCCTCGCCCCCACCCACCCTCCAGCCTCAGCTCCTGCCATGCTCTGCTCTGCAGCCTCAGTGCTTCAGAGGGAAGCCCAAGTCCGGGGCAGGTGAGGCCTGTCCCAACAGCTGCCTCTCTCCCAGGCCTAGCCAGCAGTGCTGGTAACATCTACACACAGTCGGATGTGAAGTGTGTCTACATCTACGAGAACCAGCGCTGGAACCCCGTCACAGGCTACACCAGTAGGTGAGTGGCCGGGCCCAGCCAGCCCAGACTGCAGTCCTGGTGAGATTTGGACACCCTCGTCCCAGGGAGCCCCTGACATGAAACTAACTGGATCTTACTGCTCACAGAGGTGTTTCTTCACTTGAATCTTTAAGTGTAATACAAATTTTAAAAACTCTCTTTATTGAGATGTATGACATAAAGTGCACAAAATATAAATGTATACACATGCACGTATGTACAGTGAGGTATGTATGCTGATCTATACATACATATCAAAACTTGGAAATGATCAATCATTGAGTTACAAATCCGACAGCAGCGTAATCATTACCCAGCCCAGGAAATAGGACAGGGCCAATCACCCCCATTCTCCTGGTGTCCCTCCTCGTCACCCCTCCCTCCTTACCAAAGGTGCCATCCTGACCTCTAACGTGAGTGTCGTTGTGCTTAATTCAAGCTACTGAGAACATCATAGCCGCCACCAAAATTATTTTAATGGATCAAACATGAGGATTTTGGACAAGGTAGTATGTTTGGGACAGAAAGGAAACACTATAAAATCTAGATTATATGTGGTTCTTTATTTCCTGGCCTCTCTGCATAGAAACATTTCTCATCACTCTTGTCCCAAGTTTTTGTTTCTTTTCAGAAAGTTAGCAAGTGATGGATTTCTTAGCTGTTAAAACCTGCCACGAGATGTTTGGCCAGCCAGAGCAGCGGCTCTCAGGCTTCAGCCTCACCAGAGCCCTGAGTTCCGGCCCCGCCCAGCCTTCGCCCTGTGACTCTTTCCACTGCTCCTGCTTCATACCCTTTATAATAAGACAGTGGTCATAAGTATGGCTCTTTCCTGAGGTCTGTGAGTACGTCTGTGAATCTGAAGAGGCGGTGGGAATCCCCGCATGTGTAGCCAGCCGGTCAGAGAGCTGTCGAACTCTTTGGTGCAGAGTGTGGGGTAGAGGTCATTGCTGCTGGTTTAATGTCCAGTGACCCATTTCTTGAGAAGACTGGCCTTCCCTTTGTCTTGACTCTGGCATCCGTGCAGGCAGGTCTGTCTCAAGCCCTGCCCTTCCCTGGGCCACCGGGTGTCCTTGCACTGTCCCAGTGACTGTCCCTTCATGAGAAGCTTTCAAAGCTAGAGAACAAACCCTCTCATCTTTCGTGTTTTGGCTCTGCTTGGGTCATTTCCAGATGAACTTTAGAAGCAGCTTGTTTGTTCTCAAAGACCACTGGGGCCTTGTAGGGAGGGCCTTGGATCTGTAGATCCCTTTGGGTAGGAAAGTCATCTTAAATCGTTAAGTCTCCAGTATGTGGATGTAGTTTATACCTCTAGTTATGTGGTCTTTAATTCCCTTTTAATAAGGTTTTCCATCTTTCACTAGATGGTATTTCATATTTTTTTGGTTCTATTATAAATGGCACAAATTCTTTATTTTTTTTTTCACCTTTGGTGGCTGTGTACAAAACATAGCTGATTTCCTTTCCCATTTCTTCAAATTTTGTGAAAGAAAGAAATAGCAAATAGTATGAGGAACAAACTCTATTCCCACCAACCAAAGATAGTGACCTGTGTTCGCATTGGGCCCGTCCCCTCTGCCTGTTCTCTGTGTGCGCACGTGCGGTGTGGCAGGGGGACAAGGTCAGGTGGTTAAAGATGGGCTGCAATGGCCCACAGCCCCGTCCCCGAGAGTGATCTGGGTTATCTAACCTCTAGTCCATCTTGATGTGGATTGCAATTTCTTACTCATGCAAACGGTATAAAGAATTTCCTTGTGTGTAAATATTTGTGAGTCTCTCTGTTCCCTCCATAAATCACGGTTTGATCTTTTCTAATACTCGTTGCCAGAATATATCCTGGAAGCCTTCACAGCAGCTGTGTATGGTGTCCACACAGAATGCTGACCCTTCCTGCTCAGTCCTTAGGAAACAGTACAGGACAACGCCTGTTCCTGGGTCCATGTAGGGAATGTGGACCAAGGGCCCCAGCTCCTGGCCCCTCAGCCTCATGGCCACCCGCCTGAGACCACCATGAGCTGCTTGCTGCTCTGTGAGCGTCTGAGTCAGTGCAGGCTGTGCTACAAAGCCCCCGGTCCTGGAGGCTGGGGAGTCTGAGATCGAGGTGTCTGCAGGGTGGGCTCCTCTGAGGGCTCCAGGCATTTCGTGGCTTCAGGTGTCTCTCCTGTCCTCGCACAGAAATTTGGGTCCAAATTTCCCCTCTGTAAGGGCATGCCACATTGGCTTACGGCCACCCTAATGACATCATTTTAAGCCGGAACCCTATGGGCTCCCCAAGTTCTGGGAGGCAGAAACAAACACATACAGAAAGCCCCATGCCAGAGCCCACACCCCATAGGGACAGCTAACCCTGTAGAACTGTGTATGGTCCACTAAGACTGCAGAAACACATCTGTGCAGGCTTAACAGCTTCCCCCCGTGAGGCAGCAATGACCTTTGTCCCCATTTTACAAATGAAGAAATTAGGGCTTATTGGGGTTCTGTGAGCATTCCTAGAGGGTCAGCTGGTTGGGCCTCACACCTGCCTAGTGCCAAGTGCCTGGGATGGCTGGAGTGCAGCCACGAGCAGGTGAGGCAGAGGGGCTGGAGGTGGTGTGCATGGGAGATTTACTGCTTCTCATCCGGGTTGTGCAACCCCAGGATAATCAGAGAAACTCAAGCCAGGCCAGCCCCTGCAAGATAAGCTCAGCAGGCCCGTGAACACCGCCCCCCTCGCCCCCACCCACCCTCCAGCCTCAGCTCCTGCCATGCTCTGCTCTGCAGCCTCAGTGCTTCAGAGGGAAGCCCAAGTCCGGGGCAGGTGAGGCCTGTCCCAACAGCTGCCTCTCTCCCAGGCCTAGCCAGCAGTGCTGGTAACATCTACACACAGTCGGATGTGAAGTGTGTCTACATCTACGAGAACCAGCGCTGGAACCCCGTCACAGGCTACACCAGTAGGTGAGTGGCCGGGCCCAGCCAGCCCAGACTGCAGTCCTGGTGAGATTTGGACACCCTCGTCCCAGGGAGCCCCTGACATGAAACTAACTGGATCTTACTGCTCACAGAGGTGTTTCTTCACTTGAATCTTTAAGTGTAATACAAATTTTAAAAACTCTCTTTATTGAGATGTATGACATAAAGTGCACAAAATATAAATGTATACACATGCACGTATGTACAGTGAGGTATGTATGCTGATCTATACATACATATCAAAACTTGGAAATGATCAATCATTGAGTTACAAATCCGACAGCAGCGTAATCATTACCCAGCCCAGGAAATAGGACAGGGCCAATCACCCCCATTCTCCTGGTGTCCCTCCTCGTCACCCCTCCCTCCTTACCAAAGGTGCCATCCTGACTTCTAACGTGAGTGTCGTTGTGCTTAATTCAAGCTACTGAGAACATCATAGCCGCCACCAAAATTATTTTAATGGATCAAACATGAGGATTTTGGACAAGGTAGTATGTTTGGGACAGAAAGGAAACACTATAAAATCTAGATTATATGTGGTTCTTTATTTCCTGGCCTCTCTACATAGAAACATTTCTCATCACTCTTGTCCCAAGTTTTTGTTTCTTTTCAGAAAGTTAGCAAGTGATGGATTTCTTAGCTGTTAAAACCTGCCACGAGATGTTTGGCCAGCCAGAGCAGCGGCTCTCAGGCTTCAGCCTCACCAGAGCCCTGAGTTCCGGCCCCGCCCAGCCTTCGCCCTGTGACTCTTTCCACTGCTCCTGCTTCATACCCTTTATAATAAGACAGTGGTCATAAGTATGGCTCTTTCCTGAGCTCTGTGAGTACGTCTGTGAATCTGAAGAGGCGGTGGGAATCCCCGCATGTGTAGCCAGCCGGTCAGAGAGCTGTCGAACTCTTTGGTGCAGAGTGTGGGGTAGAGGTCATTGCTGCTGGTTTAATGTCCAGTGACCCATTTCTTGAGAAGACTGGCCTTCCCTTTGTCTTGACTCTGGCATCCGTGCAGGCAGGTCTGTCTCAAGCCCTGCCCTTCCCTGGGCCACCGGGTGTCCTTGCACTGTCCCAGTGACTGTCCCTTCATGAGAAGCTTTCAAAGCTAGAGAACAAACCCTCTCATCTTTCGTGTTTTGGCTCTGCTTGGGTCATTTCCAGATGAACTTTAGAAGCAGCTTGTTTGTTCTCAAAGACCACTGGGGCCTTGTAGGGAGGGCCTTGGATCTGTAGATCCCTTTGGGTAGGAAAGTCATCTTAAATCGTTAAGTCTCCAGTATGTGGATGTAGTTTATACCTCTAGTTATGTGGTCTTTAATTCCCTTTTAATAAGGTTTTCCATCTTTCACTAGATGGTATTTCATATTTTTTTGGTTCTATTATAAATGGCACAAATTCTTTATTTTTTTTTTCACCTTTGGTGGCTGTGTACAAAACATAGCTGATTTCCTTTCCCATTTCTTCAAATTTTGTGAAAGAAAGAAATAGCAAATAGTATGAGGAACAAACTCTATTCCCACCAACCAAAGATAGTGACCTGTGTTCGCATTGGGCCCGTCCCCTCTGCCTGTTCTCTGTGTGCGCACGTGCGGTGTGGCAGGGGGACAAGGTCAGGTGGTTAAAGATGGGCTGCAATGGCCCACAGCCCCGTCCCCGAGAGTGATCTGGGTTATCTAACCTCTAGTCCATCTTGATGTGGATTGCAATTTCTTACTCATGCAAACGGTATAAAGAATTTCCTTGTGTGTAAATATTTGTGAGTCTCTCTGTTCCCTCCATAAATCACGGTTTGATCTTTTCTAATACTCGTTGCCAGAATATATCCTGGAAGCCTTCACAGCAGCTGTGTATGGTGTCCACACAGAATGCTGACCCTTCCTGCTCAGTCCTTAGGAAACAGTACAGGACAACGCCTGTTCCTGGGTCCATGTAGGGAATGTGGACCAAGGGCCCCAGCTCCTGGCCCCTCAGCCTCATGGCCACCCGCCTGAGACCACCATGAGCTGCTTGCTGCTCTGTGAGCGTCTGAGTCAGTGCAGGCTGTGCTACAAAGCCCCCGGTCCTGGAGGCTGGGGAGTCTGAGATCGAGGTGTCTGCAGGGTGGGCTCCTCTGAGGGCTCCAGGCATTTCGTGGCTTCAGGTGTCTCTCCTGTCCTCGCACAGAAATTTGGGTCCAAATTTCCCCTCTGTAAGGGCATGCCACATTGGCTTACGGCCACCCTAATGACATCATTTTAATTCCAGCATCTGCAGAAACCCTGTTTCCAAATAAGGTCACATTCACAGGTACTGGAGACAGGGCTTCAGCACCTTTTGGGGGACACAGCCTCCATAACACCAGGGAAAGAGATAGACCCCCAGACTGCCCTATGCACCACAGCCCTCTACCAGAGGCCCTGAGTGAAGTGGGGTCACCCTGGGTGCTGTCCTCGCCCTCTCCCCTCGCAGGTGCACGCCTGGCACAGTCCAGTGCCTGGGTAGGGCAGGCTGTTCTGTCCTCTCACATCACCCCACCCCTTTGTCCTGTCAAAGGGGTCTGCCCACTGACCGGTACATGTGGAGTGATGCCACAGGGCTGCAGGAATGCACAAAGGCCAGCACGAAGCCGCCGTCCCTGCAGTGGACCTGGGTGAGCCCGGGGCTATGGGGCAGGGTGGGGACTGGCGCAGGGGTCCGGCCGCACTGACCTGCCACTCCTCCAGGTGTCTGACTGGTCCGTGGATTTCAGCGTTCCTGGGGGCACTGACCAGGAGGGGTGGCAGTATGCCAGTGACTTCCCTGCGTAAGCATCTCTTCTCTGCATGGGGAGGGCCCTCTGCAGTTAGGCCCTGAGCATCAGGCCCCAGCTTCACCACTCTGCTGGGCAGCACCCCTTCCCCTGCCCCACTGCCCTGGGGAGCTCTGACCCCCGAAAGACCCAAGCTTGGCTGAGGAGCAGACCCCCTGTGCCCACCTCAGCTGCTAGTAGAGCACAGAGCCAGCCAGAGAGGTGTGGTGGGGCCCAGGTGAGCTTGGGCTGGCATACCTGCTACGCCTGGCCTCGGTGGCTGGGCTCCCTCTGCCCCTGGTTGCAGCCCTACTGCACTGAGTGTGGGCTCTTGGTGCGCCAGCAGGGACCTGGTGCCTGCGGCTGAGGTGGCCCTGGGTGACAGGCAGGCATGGCTTTGGGGAGCTTTGGACCGGGCCCTGGTGACAGGCAGGGGTGGCCCAAGGGAGGTATCAAGTGAAGGAACAGTTTGATCAAAGCATGGAGTGAGGCCAGAGCTGTCCTGGGAGGTAAAGGAACCATGGGTGACAAGCCCACCAAGTCAGGGGACCCTGGTGGCCAGTGCCCAGTGTCAGCAGGCTGCAGGCCCTTCACAGTGCATGAGTTACATCCCAGTGGAAGATGGAGCCCGGAGAGTTGAGCCAGGGCCTCTAAGTGGGCCCCAGCTTGGGGAGGAGACGGGTGTGAGCATGGGCTGGCCCGGGGTCCCTTGCCCACAGACAGGCCTCTCAGACTGCCCCTGCCCCTCGACCTCAGTCCTCAGCCTGATTGCTCCCCAGAGGGTTCTGATGGGGTCCTGGGTGGGGAGGGCTTAGAAACCCCTTAGCTAGAGCCCCCTGGTTGGGCAGCTGCCACATCCTGGCCCCAGGGAGAGGGGTCTGACCAATAAGTGTCATGTCCTGTGACACCTGCTGCCCCCTGAGCCCACCCCATGGCTCACACCGAGGCTCTGTGCCCTGGAACAGGTAGAAAAGAACATGCCTGTGCAATGTTACTTTCCAGAAATTTCCACGAAGCTGTCTTGATTTCAGCTTCTTCCTCTTGCAGCTCATACCACGGATACAAAACCATGAAGGATTTTGTCAGGAGAAGGTGCTGGGCCAGGTAAAGTTGGTAGGGAAGGTGTGGCCCTGCCCCTCCTGCTGGGTCCCCCTGGGCCAGACCTCCAGCCTGCCCCCTCCCAGAAGCAGAAGTTGGGGGGACAGAATCAAAGTAAATGTCAGCCCAGGAAATGCCCTCAGGCTCCCAACGCTCTCTTATTTCTGAAGAGTTTGTTTTCAAGAACAAATAAGAGAAATGTCATTGGCAGGCTCTGCTTGTCAACAGGACAGGAGGCCTGGCTGGGGGCCGAGGGCAGGGCAGGGCATGGAGAGGGGAGCCACCTCTGCAGGCCCCTCATCTGCCCATCAGATAGCGGAGCCCACCTTGGTGCTGGGGTGGGGGTAGGGCCCCGAGATCCGGGAAGGCTGGGGTGAGCCAAGGGAAGGAGGAAGGGAGCAGGGTGCAGTCTGGCTGCCTCCATGCACAGCTTTCCGAGTGCCTAGGGCAGGTGGCCTGAGGCTCACGGTCACCCTGGGGTCACAGGGTGGTGCTCTCTTCCACCACGCAGAAAATGCAAGCTGATGACCAGTGGGCCCTGGCTGGAGGTGGCCCCAATCGCCCTTGGGGACGTGTCCATCATCCCTGAGAGCCTGGGCACTGACGCGAGTGGGCCCAGTATCGCACTCTGGGCCATCAGCGACAAGGGGGACGTGCTGTGCCGCCTGGGTGTGACCGAACTCAACCCTGCAGTGAGCACTCTGCCTCCCAGGGCCCCTGGGCTTCCACACCCTGCCCACCTTGGGCCCTCTTGGGGTTCTGGTGGATTCTTCCCAAATTGACTCTTGTTGTGGAGTCAAGCTGGGCTCAGACCTCCCCAGGTCTGCCTAGGATGGTCTCTGGGACTTGGGGGCACTGTATGTGGCCCAAGGGGTCACCAGGCTATGTGGGCAGTTGGAGCTAAGGATAAGGTTGACCCGAAGAGCCACCAGTCGCGGGGCCCTCAGTGTCCCTCCCTCCGTCTCTAGGGTTCCTCCTGGCTGCACGTGGGCACTGACCAACCCTTCGTGTCCATCTCCATCGGCGCCTGCTGCCAGGTGTGGGCCGTGGCACGCGATGGCTCTGCCTTCTACCGTGGCTCTGTGTCCCCCACCCGGCCGGCTGGTGAGTGCCCCCCCTCCTCAAGGAGGATCCCCCTGGTGCCACCAGTTGTGCTGGGGGATGGGGTGGCAGGGCTGGTAGAGAGGGGCTGTGTGTGCCGTTTCCCAGGGAAGCTGGTGGATGGGCCCCCTGATTCTCAGTTCAGCTGGGCAAGTGCTTCCTGAGCACCACCTGTGGACCAGGCTCGGGGAGCTGAGCCAGGTCCCCCCAGAGGCCGCACCCATCCCCCTGGCACTGACTGGGGGGTGGCCCAGCTGCATGATGGGTGGCACCTTGCAGCTGCCCTTCAGTGTAGGCCCTTTGTACCTCTTGCCCCTCTGGGGACCGGCTTGCTGGGCACCTCCTGAGGTGGCTCACTCCACAGTGACCACGCTGGCTACAGGAGTGCCGGCCACACTGGCTTGTACCTGGCTGGATGTCTGGGCAGCGGTGGCAAACAGGGCTTGTGCAGCAGGTTTGCGTCATGGCCCTACAGCAGGCTCTCCTCCTTGGCATCCCTGCTCATGAGACTGGCCCAATAGGCCCTGCCACCCGGGACGTGTCACAGCCTCTGGAGGGCCAAGTGAGGGCACTGGGGGGGCCACTGTTACCTGGCCCTCGGTGATGCCAGGCCCTGTGGCATGTGTGTGGTCCAGCTGGTCTGGGACAGAGGCCGTGGCACCTACTTAGACCCTGTGAATGGCAGAGGAGACCACATGCCCCATGGGTGCCTGGGGTAATGGTACCCCTGCATCCCGGGTCTTGCTTCTGTTGCAGGTGACTGCTGGTACCACATCCCGTCCCCTCCCAAACAGAGGCTGACGCAGGTGTCTGTGGGGCAGACGTCAGTGTATGCCCTGGACGAAAACGGCAAGTTGCTTCTGATCCTCAGTAGTTGCCAGGGGAGATGAGGGGTTCCCTGAGCATCCTAATGTGATGAGACCCTCGTTAGCCCCCAAGTCCCTGACACAGGACCTTTGTAAGCCACGAGAGGCTGCCTACCTGAGATCGGCCTCTGAACGGATCCCCCGTCAGTTATGCAGGCAGAGGGCACCAGCCCACCCAGCTGGTCCACCCTGCCTGGGCCTCGGGCAGAGGACACACTGCCGAGGCCAGGGTGATGCTGCACTGTGGGGCTGGCGCCGGGAGCATCTTCTAGAAGGTGCCACCCAGGCCTGGGATGCAGGAGCCCCACTGGCAGCTTGGGGCCGGTGGAGGTCACCCGTTTGGCCCTGGGCCTCTGTCTCCTGTGCCACCTCTTGCCAGGTCCCTTTCTGTTCTCCGGTTGTCACAGATGAGCAGGTGAAACTGGGCCTGGAACCCACGGCCCCGAGTCCAGATAGTGTTTAAAGAATTCCTTGTGCTCAGTTTCTCATGCGTAGAGAGCAGAGGACAATGGCGGCCCAGTCCAGCAGGACGATCCCGAAGCTTAGGGGCAGCATGGGAAGGGCAGAGCTGGCTCTGGCCTGAGCTTGCCTCTCACTGAGTTGGCGAGATCCCTAGGAAGTGTGGGGACAGAGGGAGGCCACCGCCTGCACCTCCGTGGTTAGACTGCTCGGCTTTGTGGGCCCCGAAGTGACTCCCAGCACTCTGGGCTCCACGGCAGGAAGGGCCTGGGGAGGCCCCTTGGCCAACACACCCTTCTCTCCCCAGGGAACCTGTGGTACCGCCAGGGGGTCACGCCCAGCTACCCACAGGGCTCCAGCTGGGAGCACGTGTCCAACAACGTGCGCCGAGTGTCTGTGGGGCCCCTGGACCAGGTCTGGAAACCCGGGGGTGGGACTTTGGGGTGCTCTGGGTTTCCTCTCTGGTCTCCCCACTGCTGTCCCCACAGCCCCACAGGAGCCAGAGGTGGGCCTGCAACGGGTCTGTTTCCAGGTCTGGGTCATCGCCAACAAAGTCCAGGGGAGCCGCAGCCTGAGCCGGGGAACCGTGTGTCGTCGCACAGGCGTGCAGCCCCACGAGCCCAAGGGCCAGGGCTGGGACTACGGCATTGGGGTGAGCAGGGCTGGGCTCAGGGCAGCTTCACTGGCCGTGCTGTGCACACTCTGGGCCCTGAGGGCAGTCCCAGCTGGGACCTGGCACTGGGGTCAGTGGGACACCCCAGTCAGAGCCCCTTAGGGGTTCCAGACCATCTGGAAATATGTCTCTGCCGCGGCCCCCGGCAGCCCAATGACGCTGGCTCTTCCTCCAGGGGGGCTGGGATCACATCTCTGTCCGGGCCAATGCCACCAGAGCCCCTAGGAGCACGTCCCAGGAGACAGCTGTTGGGCCGAGTGGGAAGCAGGGCCTCCCTAGCTGGCCCTCGAGAGTGGCTGGTGCCCTGCAAGAGGCCTGTGGCCCCGTCTCCTGCTGAAGCTGAGGCCTCCTCTCACCTGGAAGCAAGCGTGGTGTCCGGTTTGAAGAAGCAAGGTTGACCCGTGAGCCTTCCTGTCGTTGTGTCATGAGCCGTTCTGTGTGTGGGGCCTGGGAGTGCTGTGGGCCAGGCCAAGACTCAAGACTAGAGAGGGAAGCTGGCTTGAGGTCCCAGCCACCTCAGAGGCACTGGCTGGAGCAGCCCAGAAATGTGCAGCTTTATGGACAATCCTGTACGTGGGCCGTCTACGAGGAGGTCGTGGGGTGTGGGGTCCCTTCCCTCAGCCCTCTGCCTTCCAGGACAGGAGCCTGGGGCCTGCAGTCTTCCAGGATGCTGCCCCCAGGGACACAGAGCCCACGCGAGCCCCCTGAACCCTTAGCTTCACTGCACAGCATTGAAGCCCTGCCCCACAAAGAAAGGTAGCCTTAAGGGTCAAGGCCACTTTGCCCCATTCTGTGATAATTTCTCAGAGCAGGACTCACAAATAGGGTTTAATCTTAAAGGCTAAGGGGCAGGTACATGTGGGGGAGGGACATCACCCTCCCCTGGGGGGCACGGCGCTCCTGCAGTGGGCAGACAGGCTGCCCAGTGGCTGGGGGAAGCTGGCCCGTTGCAGAGTCACCCGCCCTTCCTCCAACGGGCTTGGGGGATGGGGGCGTCTCATGTCTGACCAAGTTTTGGGGTTGTCGTGGGGCATGCAGGCTGCAGCCCCAAAGCCGTCCACCCCTGGGAGCCAGAGCCCTGCCCACAGGGTCAGGGTGAAAGCACCCCCTGCTGGGCAGCTGCTCAGCAGCTTTTTCTCTGGTTCTGGCCCCATGTGGGGAAGTCCGAGGTCTGCATCCCACACCATCACCCAGGAGGTCGTCAGGGCCCATGCCCATCTCTGCTTGTTCAGAGGTACAGCAGATGGACCCAGCTTCCCCAGATCCCTGCCAGGAGGGCCGGCTGTGTGCTGGATCTGTTTCACTGTGCGGAGTTTATTGCCCAGAGGCTGATGTCTCCTGGGGCATCTCCTCGGTGGGGCATTTGAGGGAGCCACTGGTCTGTGCGTTTGTGTCTTTGGGCGGTGACCAGGACAGTGGCTGGGGTGATGCTCTCCTGTCAGTTCACACCTTGTCCTCAAGGTTCTCTGAAGGGGCAGCCACCTGTCACTCTGCTGGGACTCACTGTCTGTAGCTGGCGTCACCTGGCCTTCCCTTTGCTGAGCACCAGCTGTTGACCTGCTCAGCGCCATCAAACCATCTCATTCCTTGGCTGCTTTACTCAATGAAAACCTACACCAGAGTGTAAATGGCTTGCTATGTTTTATTGCTACATTATGATTAAAATGCACATTCCCCTACGCTTTCCAGCTCCTGGGGCAAAAGTAGCGACCATCCTGAAATCTGTAATTTTTGCTTTGTGACAAGGCATTGGTTTCATTCGTGCTTTGAAGGGGCCGTGAGGAAAACTAAAAGCAAATTTGGGTCATTTAAAACAATTATTATTATTCACAATTACAGCTGGGCTGGGCACCCAGTTCCTGGTAGGTTTTCCCAGACAGAAGAAGCCCAGGTCTGGTTTCTCAGCTTAAGTCCGTGGGAATCTGTGTCCAGAGCTCACTCAGGTCTGGTCTGCAGGCAGGTGTGTCCCAGGCAACCAGGGCTCAGAGAGTGTGTCTCTGACATAGGACGCCTTGGAGGACAGAGGGGTCCGAGACGAGGGTCGAGGGAGCAGACCTGGCAGCAGGCCTCAGCAGCCCATCACCAGACCTGTCCCCTCACCTCCCACCGCCATATTTAACACGCTGAAACTTGGCTGGGACCTTTAAGGCTTCCCTGCGATGCGCCCGCAGGGGTATGCAGCTGCCCACCTGCCTCAGATGAAGAGGGTCTGGACCTCTGGGCCCAGGTCACCCTCTGAGAAGCAGAGGGCATGCAGGTGCCAGTTTGGGACCAAAAGAGCCCTGAAGGCCACTCCTGCAAGGTGGTAGCCCCCAGGCCCTCCTGCTGCCCCTGGTCATCAGGCATGGTTCTCAGGACAACCTGCTGGGCACCCCTCCTGCAGCTTTTGGCTCAGTTTGTGAGTTGGTTCAGCAAGCTCAGGGGTGCACGGAGCCCTGCTCTGGCCTTGGCTTGGCCGAAACAACAGTCCCCAGGTTTGTATGGTTGTGTCCCAGCCGGCAGGCCACCCGCAGCAGGGGACATGTGGGCCCCACTGTCCCTGGCTTGGAGTGGCCCTCCTGATGGATTGTCTCCTGGCCTTCCTGAGAGACTGTCCCTGAGGGGCAGGCCGCGAGTGCCTGGGGTCCCCACCTGACCCGTGTTCAAAGGCAGCTAGGAGGATGGGGCCTGGACCAGACCAGGCCTCCTGGGCCCACCTTCCAGAGGACCTGGCTTTGGGACCTGGGGAGGGTCCAGCCAGTGTCTGACCTGAAAAGATTGGACTGAAGCAGCTCCTGGCCATTCTGAGGGGTGCCCCCTGCTACCCGACACAACCAAGGCTGACCCTAAGCCCAGCGGCACATCTAGTGGCTGGAGCTGGGATACCCTGGCCTGGGAGGTAGGCCACACGTGGGGCGGGGGCCCTCGGCTGTGGCAGCCTGCTCCCAGCCTGGCTCAGCCCCCACCCCCAGGGCCCCAGGAGGGGCCTGGCCCCCGAGGGCTCCTGGGACAGCTCTTGGTCTGGGCACTGGCCCCACCTGCCAGGCCAACTCCACCCTCACCTCAGTCGCTGTCACTCGGGTTCCTGCCTGAGGCTGCCAAGGGCCCTGTCCCCTCCCCATACTGGCTGTGGGCAGAGGGACACGGCAGGGGAGATGCCAGCGGGGGTTGAGAGAAAGTCGCCAAGCCTGTCGGAGCCAGCAGGGCAGGAACCCCACAGCAGGAAGCCAGGCCCTGTGCAGGGTACCTGCCAAGCGGCCCGCTGCGCCTCCAGGAGCAGCAGCGTGGGGGAGGAGAGCTCCTGCAGCCCTGGCTCCATCCTTCAGGGCCGCCCACTCCAGCCAAGACCTAAGAACACCCTACAGCCCTGTCAGACCGCCATTTGCCAGTTGTATGTCCAGGCGTGTCAGTGACCAATGTGACAGAGCAGCACACATGGGTGGAACCCTGAGGAAGGCATGGGGATGGGCCCGTCCTGGGGGCCAGGGCCCGGCAGCACCTCCCCGCCCAGCCCTGCCCTGGCCCCCACCCCCTCGGTGCCAGGCCCAGACCCTCCCAGGTCAGGAGCCCCCACCCGGAGCTGGAAGGGGAAGATCCCGGCCTCTCTTCCCACCAAGGTCCCTTTAGAATTCATCTGAGGTAATCTGATCAGGGTTTCTATCTGACATGCTGAGCAAGATTTTTCAGTCATCTAGACTCAGCCACCCCGAGATGGCCGCGGGCTTGGCTTGCTCCGTGCCTCAGTTTACCTGGAGTGAGGCGGCTACGACACAGGTTGAAGGAGGTCCCTTCCCGGGTCTGGGCCTCAGCGTACCCGGGGAAACTTACCAAAGAAACCTTTTCCTGGAATGTCCCTTGCCTCCGGAGGGAGTTAGGAGTGAAGAGAATCTGAAGACCCGTCGGCTCCTGCCTGGGCAATCAGAGTGGGTCCTGGGCCCCCTGCAGAGGTTGGGGCCTCACGCTGCCCAGAGCCAGGGCCTAGACTGGACCCCGGGGTCCGGGACGTGCTCCAGGGAGGCGGCTGAGTGTTCAGGGAAAGTGCAACCACACTGGCCACGTCCACATGAGGTGTCCCCACCCATCTGGGGCTGTCGGCACGGAGGGCCCAGGGCCATGATGAGCGGGCCGGGCTGCTGCTGACCCCGGGGCTGGGCGCTACGAGCCCTCCCGGAAGCTGTGGATCTGCGTGGAGTACTTCTGCAGGTGGCCCTCCGGCTGGGCCTCGATGGCTCCGAGTGCAGCCCCGGCTGCCTGCTGCTGCTGGTAGTGCTGGTAGAGCTTGGGGCCTGGCCCGTCCAGGCCTGGCAGGCGGCCGCTGGACATGGCCAGGATGGTGGCGGTCAGCGACTTGATGTAGTTCTTGGCCAGCGTGAGCGTCTCGATCTTGGAGAGCTTCCTGTCGGCCCGCACGTGCGGGATGGCCTCGCGCAGCGCCTGGAAGGCGTTGTTCAGCTTGTGCATGCGCTGCCGCTCGCGCTCGTTGCTCTCCAGCCGCCGCTGGACGGTGCTTTCTCGCCGGCTGCCTGGCCGCCGGCGCCCGCCCTCGGCCCGCGCGCCCTGCCCCCGCGCCGCCCTGCTCCGCAGAGACTTGGGCGGCTCCGGCCCCGAGCCCGGCTGGGGACGGTCGGGTGTCTGCTCCCCTGGGCTGGCAGCTGTGTCCTGTGGTGGCGCCCGGCGCCTGGGGGGCCGGTTCTTGGTCTTCATGGCTCCAGACTGGTGGTCCCAGGGCTAGGGGCTCTGAGGGGAGGCCCTTGGAGCTGAAATCCATAACACAGGCCACCCCGTGGTCACTCAGCAGACTGGTGGCCCTCAGGACGGCCAGTGGACACTCGGGGCAGCTATCTGTTTAACCTCTTCCCTGCTCAGGGGCAGCTGACCTCTCCATGCACAGTAATCCCATGCACACGTGAACCCCTGAGCTGACCGCACCCATTACCGTTTGACTTCACACTGACCCCTCAAACCTCTTATGATTTGGTGTCCCCCTCCACCTGGTGACATGCAGTGACCCCCCCCCCGGACCTCTCAGGCCCATGACCCTCACTGACCCCTGAGTGTCCTGAGCTTAGGGGGCCTTTGACCCTTTGCTCAGACCCCCCCAGAGATGCTGCTCTATCCTGGCTCAGGTGGGCCCTCTGCTTGACGCTGCCTCCTTTGGCCTCACGGACAGGCACTGGATCCTGCCACAGTGACCGTCCTGACCCCCTGGACATCACACATGCAGGGACAACACTGGGGCCAGAACCACTGTGGACACAGGAAGCTGTCCGCGGTCAGAGGTCGACAGTGGCCAGAGCCCGCAGCAGCCCACAGTCCCGCCACGTGGATAGCCCTGGCCAGGGCTCCAGACCTAGCCCCCACACCCCCTAGGTTTACCCCCAGACCTCACCCGGTCTTGCCCCTCGGCCCTCTCCCCGCGGCCCCGCCGGACCCCCACCCTAGTTACCTGGGGATCCGCGGCCGCACGCGCCGGGGCTGCCCACGGGGGACAAGGACACGTCGCTTTAGCCGCCCGGGCGGGGCCGCGGCCGCATGTAAATGAGCCGCGGGGCGGGGCGCGCGCGGGGGCGGGGCGGGGACACCTGCGGGCGGGCGGTGCCCCCTCGGCAGCGAGCCGAAGCCTCCGCCGCTCCGCGGACTGGGCTCCCTGGCCTCCGCGCCGGGCCTTGGGGCGACGGCTCAGCACCGAGATCGAATCGGAATTCACGGAAAAGCCGTTTTGCAATAAGTCTAGTTTATCAGACGGGCAGCGAACACATCCCTGAAGGGCGGGAGCCCAGGCCCCGCGAGCCCACATTCCCGGAGGACCTGCGGCAGCCGGCTTGGGGGTCCCCGCCAGGTGCGAGTGAGCGGTGCCCTGGCCCGCGGAGCGCCTACTCAGCCGCGCGCTGCGGGTCCCCGGCGGGCGGGAGGTGAGCAGCTTGGGATCGGAAACAGGCTGCCTCCACACCTGCTTTACTTAATCGCCCCCCGCCTGTTTCCTCTTGCACATTAAAGGGTGTCAAAAGCAACTGGCTCCGGGCTCCGGGATCGCACGTAGCCTGGACTCCCACCCACCTGGGTTCTACAGGACCAGGGGCAGGGCTGTCCTCTTCCCACCCTGTCACTAGCTGCGTGTCCTGGGCGTTCCTGAAATGGGGGTGGGGGTTTTGGGTCTACCGAGTCGGTGTGACCTGAGCTGGGGCCTGGCGTGTCTGGGTAGGAGGCTGCCACGGTGCTCTTAGAAGCTGTGGCCCCGAGAGTGTTGCGGGGTGACTGGGACCAGGTCCCCTCGGGGCATAGGCTAGCTTGAGCTCATTAGCCTCTTGACTTAGGGCTCCTTAGAGGCTGACCCTCAGAAATTAAACTGCTTCTGAAATTAATCAGTGCAAAGGCTTCAGATCATACACTTTGAGGCAGCACAAACACTGCATACAAGCTTAGTTTTCTAGTGATTATAGGAATCTTCCTGTTCTCAGGAGGGGGTGGATTCAGCTGTCATGTAAGGGGCATCCAACCTCTATAGCAACTGGGGCAGTGAGTGAACCACCCACCTGGGCCTTGCACAGTGGAAACAACACAGAATAAATGCAGCAACAGAGTTTATAAATATATAACTATTTATTTTGAATATTAAATAGTTTTTAAATTACAAGCAATTTATTGAATCACACTATGCATCAATATACAATAAAAATCTTACAGTTTAAAAATGTACACAATTTAAACTGAAAGTTCATTAACTGTTATATTGCCGTGAACCTCTTACAACTGTGTTAAAGAGTAACAGGGAAACCTCACAGGTGTGACTGCCCCGTGGGTCATTTGCAGACAGAATTTAACAGTGGACACACACACACATGGGTCTGTTACTAAGATTTCTCTATGTCTGTGCGAACTTGAACCTCAAATATGTTCAAACCATTCAAATAACAAGTTGTTGGTAAGTCAATACTGTCAATTAAGAATTTACTTATGTACGAAAAAGAGAATCATCTTTCTCAATAGCTAAACTTGAGTCAACCCCATTACTGCTTAGGATTATTGTTTTTGAGATTTAAATCTGAAGTAACTGTACTGTACCCCATTCTTATTTTAAGGCTATTCTCACAAGGCTCATACTTGAAGCCTCACCTCTAACTGAAGCCCAATGTTTGAAGCCCAACACTTGGTTCACTCCTGGAATTTTCAGATGACTGGCTGAGTAGTGGAAAAGTAGAGATGCCTCCCTTGCTCTGGGCCTTTAGAACAGACATGCAGAAAGTCAGTAAGCCTACAAATACCCTATGGAAAATATTCATCAAAGGAAGAGGATTTGAAAGGCGTTTTACGGCAAGATGTACAAAGACTTTCCTTAGATAAACCCATTTCTATAGAAACAATCACCCGTACATTTAAAAACAGAAGGAATGCTCTGTTTTTAATTCAGCTTCGTTGAGCTTCTCACCCAGATGCACAGAGTAGGCTTCAGCAGGGTTTGGGGAACACTTTTTAAAAATTTCTCTTTCTGGCTTATGAAGGGTCATTTGATAACACAAATTAACATCGAGTTAGGAAAAAAATGAAGGTCAGGTTGTTTTTATTATAGGATTTAAAACACGTAAATGCCACCAAAGTAACACCAATTAAACTCTGAGAGATTCCAAAGGTGGCCAAAAAATATCATTGTGAACCAGGTATTTTAAACCTCATCCCTATTGAGAATTCCACTGATTTACTACTTCATCGTATTTACTTATTAGAACAAGTACAGTTTGAAAATCCACTACTAGTAACCAACTCAGGAAAAAAAACTTTATTGAACAACAAAGCACATGCTTGATGCTTCAAGAATGGGCTGAAAATTTTAATCTCCAAAATTTATTCCCTATGTATTGCTCAAGATTTCTAAAGAACATGTTGACTCACATGTTTATTACAAATATAAAATCTTCCCTACCATGCACCTTCACAGTAAGATCTACTACTCCAACCCACCCCCGACTCAATGTATAAAAGGCTTCTTTTGGCAATTAATTATGTGAGCGATATAGACATAAATTAAAATAGGAATCATGTTGTTAAAATCTCCTTAATCATAGTGAAAAATGTATAGTCCCAAAATAGATGTATCCCAGACTGACTGTGTAAAAAGAACTATTCTATGGATCTGCTTGACTTCAATCATTCAATCTGAACTCCTTGAGTCTGTAATTTAAAAAAACTAGCATCATTGCCTCTCCTTTCTCCCTCAACCAAGACTGGTAGTTACATGTAAAAATTCAGGAAATTCAGGAAGTCTCCACAGCGAGAAAATCAGAGTTACAACAGTTTTGGCAAAATCAGTCCCAACAAACGCCCCGCTGGGCTCGCTGCTCAGGGAGCACATTGTGAGGCGCCCCCCCCAGGTCTCCCCGCCCACACCGAGTGGAGGGCAAGGGGGCTCTTTCTCCATCTGGAATTTTCGTGCCCGGGAAAGTCATTGCCAGTGTAGAAAGGGAGCGGAGACTGCCAGGGCTGATGGCAGAGGCCACAGTCCACTGTGTGAACCCCGGCCAGTACGCGCATCTGCATCTTGCACTAGCACCAAGTTCCCGTGGCTCCGCTGCGAGCCCCAGCCTGGCCCGTGTCATGCTGGAGTTGGGAGAGCCTGTCAGCACTGGAGAACATTTGGGGAAGGGCCAGCATGTGTCCTCACAGCCCCAAGGCCCCGGCCCGATACACATGGCTTTATGACGGACATGCCAGGACACCCTCAGCATGTGTTGCTCCAGCCCCTGGAAACTTCCTGTGGTCAAAGCAGAACTCGAGGGCTACAGGTTGAGGTCAGCTTTTTATCACAAACACGCAATTTCTGCCACCATGTGGAGGGTGACTGGACACACCCCATCCCTTTCAAGGTAAAGGGAGAATTTGGTGCTTAATGCAGAAGGGAAGGGTCAGCGCAGATGAGCCCCAGGGCGGCCCTGGGGTGCAATGGCCATGCAGGGCCACCCATGGTCCTGACCAGAGAACATGCTGGCTGCAAGGCTCCACCATTGTCCTTGGTCCCTTCTCCAACTGCAGATGTGGTGTTATCTCCTCGCTTACAGAGACTGGCCACACCTGGACCTGGCTCGGAGTGGTTTGGAGGGGAATACTCAGTTCTGGAGGTCACTGAGAAGCTAAACACCTGAAGTGTACAGACAGAAAAGAACTCAAACCATCCCTAGCAACCAGCACGCTCCATGGAGCAGTTCCTTCCTCGGAGTTCTCCACATCCCTGAAGGAAGGAGTTACAAGGCCACGGAGGCCACGGCAGCCACACAGAAGCCACAAGCAGAAGAGCCGGTTTTTAGGGGAAGGGGTCTGGGGGCCACATGCTGCTTTGCAGATTACTGGACCTCGGCTACCCTGGGGAGAGGAGCCGGGGACCCCGACACTCTAACACGCATCTGAATTTTGAGGATGCACCACCTGGATATTTTTACCAGAAGGGTTTAAAAAAACTGGGAGGCAGGATGGGAGAGTTGCACAGAGGGTCTGCAAGACCCTTCAGCTCCTCAGAGGTGCCTCATGTGCTGCAAGGAACCTGTGCTACAGAAAAGAGACAACAATGTGTTTCATTCAATTAGCAGCCGTCTTTTTGGACTCATCAAAAATATTTTCTATAAGAACATAAAACACTAACATTCAGAATCATTTATCATTTACCAAAGAGTACCATATGTACAATTTCAAAGATCTAAAGACAGCGTAACATTCAAAATAGTTAAGCTTTACAAGTACCATGCAGAGCAAACAAACTGTAAAACAGAAAAAAATCAAACTAGTGAATAGCACCAGCTTGACCTGCCTTATTTTCCTTGAATAATTTAAGATTCTGTACAACATCAGGGACTCTTAGAACGTTTATCCACAGTGCAATTACAGAAAGCAATTAGTGATTTCTTAAAAATAAATAAATATGGCTCACGGTGCCCATTCTGCTCATGCGTCCTCCGGGCCCCCTGTGCAGACAGTATGCACAGGTGAGGACGCAGAGAACACCCCTCATAGAAACCAGCAACAACCCAGAGCCTACAGTTCCCCACACACCAGAGCAGGGGCTGTGCTCCCGTAGGATGACTGAGCATGAGCACCCCAGTGGGTGAGCAGGCACAGCTGCGAGTGGCCTCCCGCCAGGCTTCCACAGGCACGGAGCCAGCCCGGCTCCCTTTTGCCTCCCAAGTCTTTCTCCCAGTCTCCTTTCAGCAGATGTGAGGAGATGTCATTGCTCGGCTGGCAGCACAGGAATGTTGCCCTGGTGGGGGCCGCCTAAAACCCAAAAGGGTGTCAGCATCTACCTAATCTTTTTCTCCATCTTCACTGCTTCCTGTGAGGAGAGAGCAAGCAAAGCTGGGTTTTTAAAGTGATCGCCACAGATAAAAATAGCTTGGGCAGCATCTGGCTGTGCTACCGAAAAAGGAACCGAAGCTGGAGTGCGGCTCTGCACCACCTGCCCAGGCTGCCCGCTTTCTTCCGGTAACAGCGGCACCTGCCAGGCTCTCGCCAACATCTGCTCAGCTCACATGCTGGTTCAATGTCACGGCCGAGGGCAGGGAAAACAATCGGCCGGACTCCACACATCTGCCTGCCCGGCAGATCCTTAGGTAATGGACGTTATCTAATCAGCACAATTCAATGCAGCACAAACACAAATAAAAGCTCTTTGTAGTGCATGGTTATTGTTTGATCTGCAAACTTCAAATAAAAAATGTGCTTATTAGCATTTACCTTCCAATATAGTTATGGGGATAAAAAAAAGGATCTGTATGTTCAGGCACTACTACTCCGAATGTGCCCCGGCCATTAGCCCCAACCAGGCCTTCAGCTATCAACGCAGGACGAAGACTTAATGGCAAAATCAATAATTCCTGGGGAAGAGCCAAAGCACATTCAGGCTCCATCACAAAACCACGGGCCAAGTGTTTGTAAAAGCAGAAGCTTCCCGAAGAGCTGCTTCTCTCTGGGGGACACAAGTAGAGATGGGGGTGGGGGCTAGCAGCAGCAGCAGGAGAAGGAGAAGAGGAGGTGGCACACACCCAGGGGCAGGTCCGCATGTCGGGGAGCTGTGCCACCACGCCGCTTGCTCCTGCCTCTACCTGGGCCACCCAGCCCAGCAGGGGCATGGAGGGGATGCCGCAAGTAGTGACGGGGCCTTCAAGTGGGGGATGTGGCTCCAAGGCTGCGCAAGATTTAGGAAGGATTTTTTATAATCTACTCAGCAAATACCAGGAAAGCATCAGAGCAAAAGGCCATCAAGTCCAGTGGGGAAGGTCTCCCAGGCTGACACCCACCCCTAGCACACGCCCCCCTCACCTCCTTGCTCGATGTCCGAGTCGGTTAGGTGTGTGAGAGAAAAGCTGGCAATGTTGGCAGGAGAGATGGAGAATCTGGAATACGGCGACGCATGAGGCCAGCTCTGCTCTGCACTCCGGGGCGGCGGTGGCGGAGAAAAGTATTTTGACGTTTGAAGAGAAGGTTTGGAACTAAGGAGGTTACTTGTCGTCTTTGACATAAAGGGGTCTGGGGAGAAGTCATCATCCCACTCAAAGCCTCCACCTAAAAGTACAAAATTAAAAAATAGTTCTTCTTTTACCATCTCACGATAAAGAGTGGAGAGGAGAGCAAATCAAAGGTGTACTCTGCAGGCCAGCAAACCAACTAAGGGCCCAACAGATGGGGTTTTTCTCTATTTGTCGTAAGAAGGTTGTTTAAAGCAATGTGTGAAGTTATTCTCAAACAAGTTTACATTATTCCCAATGCATTGTGTTTTAATTTCTGTTCAAACCCACCTTCTTCGTCAGTTGAACTTTCGGAATTTATGCATCTGCTCAGGTATGGAGAACCTGACAATGGTGCTGGGCTGCTCAATTCGGGGCCACGTGCTTCACCTCCACAGTGCCCCAACTCTTTGGTGGGGGTCTCCTGAAAAGCCAAGCAGAAATTCCCGTCAGCCAGAGCCTGCTCCCAGGCCCCACTGCTGTAGGCATTGCAGGCTGGCAGTCCCCCTGACTCTTCAGCTAGGAAGTAAACATCTGGACACAGGTATGTTCCGGTCCCAGGGAACACACAGTCCTGTCCTTCCCACCAAACACAGCTTAAAAACCTGGGCGGAATGCACAGAGCAGCTATTTGAGGCCTCTGAGAAGTAAGTCATAGCAGACAGGCTGGGGAAGAACATGGAAATTCAAAGCGTACCAGACCAGCAGTCAACCCGCCCCCCACTCTTCCCCGCACCACAGCTCCTGGCCTGGACTCAACACAGACACTGGGTGCAGACAGGCAGAGCTCCAGAAACCCTTTGGTTCTGGCCACAGGAAGGGGGTCTTCCGATGCTCAGAGAGGGGAGAAAATTCCAGGTGTTTTTCTTTTTCTCCCTCTGTCCTCTCACTCCCCAGCCTCCAGTTCTGAGGAAGGTGTGCTTCCTATCCTCCTGGCGGAGCTGGGACTCCCAAGTGTGTGCAGAGAAGCCCCTCTGCCTTTTTTCCTCCCTGTCCTCTCACAGCATAGCTGCAGGAAGTATGAGGTGCAGTGTGGCAACAAAAGTCCCAGCCTTCCAGCCAGAGGACTGGAAAGGGGAGTCCATGACATCGGGAAGTACTAGGGGCACCATGGAGAGGTAGGAACTTGGGATATCACTTATGGCTCCCATCTTACCTTCGAGCTGCGCATGGTAAATCTGGCCATCAGCAGCACAGTAAAGCTTTTGGACCTGGCCTGTGGGGGAACCACTGCCCAAGTCCAGTCTGGCTTCTGGCTGCACACGCACAGATTTAAACAGCACAGCAAAGGCTCCAGAAGAAGAACCCCAACCCACAGGAGACTGGCTGCCACTTGCACCCTGCACCCAACTGGGTCAATGCCTACCAAACAAAAACATGACCATCTGCAGAATCCAAACAAGACACAGAATCCTGTAGCCTAGGATACAATCCCAAACCACTTAGCATACAAAGAATCAGGAAAACCTAAATTCGTAGGGGAAAAGACAAATCAACAGATGCCAATGCCAGTGTTAGAATAATCTGACAGACTATTATAGAAACATTTCTACACAGGCAGACATTTTCGAATGACTGGAAATACAGAAAAGTCTCAGCAAAAGAACAGATGATAAAAAGAGTAATAAAATACAAATTTTGGATAGAAATATAACAATAAGCAAAATTTAAAAACTGAATGGATTCAATAGTAGAGTGGAGATGACAGAGTAAAGAGTAAGTGAATTTCAAGTGGATCGATAGACGTGGTCCACACTGAACATCAGTGAAAACAAACACTGGAAGCAAAAAAAAAGGAACAGAGCTTCAGACTGGCGGGACAACATCCAAGGGCCTGACGCCGCACTCCTTGAGGAGAGGGGATGCAGTGTGGTGGAAAAAGTATCTGAAGAAATAATGGCTGAAAATCTCAAATTTGATGAAAGACATAAAACTATAAATTCAAGATGCTCAACAATCTTTAAATGGGAAAAACACAAAGAATTTCATGCTGAAAACTAAAGATAAAAATATTACGAAGGCAGCCAGAGATAATATTGAAAGAAAAGAGCTGTCAACTCAGAACCCTATATTCAGAGAAAATATTCTTAAGGAGTTACTGTGAAATACAGGCATTCACCGATTGAGAAAAACTAAGATAATTTGTCTGTAGTTCTGTTTTTAAACAAAACAAAAACTCCTTTGCAAACACAGATCATCAAAAATGAAAAATGAACACCAGTAGTACTATCTGGGAAAATCCAACCCTGCTCATCTCCTCTTAAGTTTCTTATATATGTTTGATGATTAAAAGTAAAACAGCACTGTCTCGCAGGGTTTGCAATGTATGTGTACGGAACACACCAGGCAATTTCAAGACAAGGACTTTGGGGAGGTAAAAGGCCTTTATGGTGGTAAGGTCTCTATAGTCCACTTGAAATGGTAAAATACTGATTCTAAGTAGACTGTGAAAAGTAAATATATTGTAATCCCAGAACTACTACAAAAACTGTATAAAGAGAAGATATGAAATAAAAGAAAAAAATACAACAGATCAACTAAAAGGCAATATTAAAAAATATTCAACTTACTCAAAAAAAGGCAGGAAAGAGGGAGAAATAACCAGAGAAACAAACATAAACAATGAAAAAAATGGTGCACCTAAGTCCAAACATGAATAATTTTATTAAAAGTGGCTCAATACCACCAGAAGGAAGAGATTTTCAGGATACAGTTGAAAACTGTCCCAAATGCATGCTATCCACAATAAACTAATGTCAAATATAATGATATAGGCAGATTAAAGGTATAAGAAAAAGACACATTATGCACATATTAATCAAAAGAAAGCTGAAGTAGCTATATGAATACCAGACAAAGGAATAGAGGACATTACAGAATGATAAAAAGGTTAGGTCACCATGAAGGTATGATAAATCTTAAGCGTACAAGCAGCTAACAACAGCTGCAAAACAGATAAATCAAAAACTGACAGAAATGAAGAGAGAAAGAGACAAATCCCCAATTACAGCTGGAGACTTCACTTCTAGCAATACTCTAGCAATAGATAGAACAAACAGACAGAAAAATCAGCAGTGATACAGAACTGAACTCCATCAACCAATTCGATCTATGGAGTTATAGAGCAATCCACCCACCAAAAGCAGAATACACATTTTTTCAGGTTCACACAGAATATTCAACCAAGAAAGACCATATTCTGTCTCTAAAACAAATCAACAAATTTAAAGGAATTGAAACCACACAAAATATTTTCTCTGACAATAATAGAATTAGACTAGAAATCATATGAGAAAGATACAAGAAAATCTCCAACCCTAGGAAATTAAACATTAAAAAAAAGTCCAGGGGTCAATGAGGAAGTCTCAAGGAAAATTAGAAAATATTTTGAACTGAATGAAAATGCAATACATTAAAATCTGTGAAATGCAACTAAAGTAATACACAGAGGAAAATTTATAGTACTGTATGCTATTAGAAAAAAGTCTCAAACCCTAAAATTCTACCTGAAGAGTCCAGAAAAAGAGCAAAATAAATCCAAACCAAAAAGGGAAGAGATGAAAAAAACAAAGCAGAAATCAAATAGAAAAGAACATGTTAAAGAAAAAGAAAAAAAAAACTCCATGAAACCAAAAGCAATTCTTCAAAAAGATTAATAAATCTATTAACCTCTTTCAGGAAGAGGAGAATATACTTCTCAACTTGGTTTATGAGACCAGCATTATCTCGATTCCAAAACTAAATACAGCATCAAGACCAAAAAAAAGCCCAAATCAACCAAACAAAGAAACACCCTCAAAGCTACAGATCAATGCACATCATGAATACAGACACAACCTCAACAACGTATCAACAAATCAAATCCAACAACATATAACAAGAATAAAACCTCTCAACCCAGTGGGCTTTATTCCAGGAAGGCAAGGATGATTCAGTATTTGAAAATCAATCAATGTAACCTACCATATTAACAGAAGAACCATATGATCCTATCAACTGATGCATAAAAACGCATCTGACAAAATTCAACATCCATTTAGGGTCGAAAACTCTCTCAAACTGAGAACAGAAGAAAAACTTCATGACTTGATAAACAACAGCACCTACAAAAAACCTACATCATAATCAATGGTCAAAGCCTTAATGCTTTTTTCATAACTTCAGGTTCAAAGCCAGACGTCTACTCTCAATCATTCCTATTCAACAGTGCACCGGAAGTCCTAGCTAGTATAATGAGGTAAGAAAAAGAAATAAAGAGGCATACAGACAGGAAATGAATAAGCCTTTCCTTATTTGCAGACAACATGATTGTGTAGAAAATCACAAGGAATAGGAAAAAAAAAAATCCCCCAAACTCCCAAAACTAATGAATATAGCAGTATACAAGGTTAACACAAAAAAACAGTTACATTTCTATATGAGTCCATTGACATGACATTCTCAACAGCAACAACAAAAAGTGGCTCAGAGCACACCAGTGTGGCTGGGGACCAGAGGTGAGGGGGGTGGAATGAGGAGGAAGTACAGGGCCTTTTCTGCGGTGACAGAGCTGCACTATGTCATCATTGCAGGGGTGGCTATACAGATGTTAAATTTATAGGACGGCATACCAAAGAGGGGTCAACAATACTATATCTAATAAAAAATAATAAAAACAACCTGTGTAAATGCTGGCTAACAGATGAACAAGATGCAACACATCTATACAGTGGAATATTATACGGTAATGAAAACATGAAATATGGATGCACCTCAAAAGCAACATACTGAGTGAGACTTCAGACATGTAAGACTACATTCTGTGGGATTCTACCACTTACATGAATTCCAGAAAAGACAAAAATACAGTGATAGAAAGCAGATCAGGGACGGGTGTGGAGAAATGAGTCTTCACTGCTTAGTTCCTGGTTTTGTGCGTGTGTGTGTTTCAATCAGTAGGAATTACAGAAAAGTTTGGTTTTCCAATTCTTTAAGCTAAAAAAATAATCTTCCTGGTAAGAATTTCTCCAATATATTTATTGGAAAAAATCCATGTATAACTGGATCTGTGCAGAAACCCATGTCGTTCACTTTAAAACCAGCTCAGTAAGCTGCAAAGTAAGAGCAGGAGAAAATCTATCAACCATCTATCAGTCAGTCTGAAACAGTTGGTAGGTGTTGCACCAAGGAAAAGTGCATGGGACACATAAGATAACTGGGCATCACAAGGAAGATTTTCAGGATTTATTTTGGCCTTCATCCACTCTCCTTTTTCTGTTACGCTAACCCCCTTCTCAAATCTCACATATATTAAGCATGTCTTACACACTTGATTTCTGTACCTTTATCCCTATAACTAACACACCCTGAGTCTTGATCTGCAATCCTGCCATCTTCGGAGGCCAGCAAAACATCACAGCCCCCATGGAGACTTCCACAGGAGTCAGCCCGCCTGCCCACAGCCTGGGGCCTTCCTCCACACACTGCTTCCCGCTGGATTTGTGCCCATCTCACTGCTCCCAGGAGGCCCCCAAACATCCTCTCTAGTCCCCCGCCCCCACTGCTCAGAAGACACAGAACACCTATGGACTGCCCTCATCAGTGATGAAATACACTGCAATTCAAGTTCACAGAAAAGGTGGAGAGATACCTGAATCGGGATGTTCCCATAACAAAACACAAACTGTGGAGCCACGTGATCCCTTTTCTCTTCTACTCTCAATTGAAAAGGGCCTCCTAGGCTCCCTTAGCTCCAATATTAAGCTGGGATGTGTGTGAACCCTGGCCTTGCTTGCAGATTTGGGAAGGCGGGGTTAAGTTCAGGAGTCTGTTTTGCTTTTTAACCGCCTACCTCCGTTCCCCTCCCCCACCTATGTCGTAGTTCAAATGTGTTGGTTTAATGATTTTTTTGAGCAACACCATAAAAACAGAACACAGAGGAACAACATGTAAGAAAGTACTACACTGAAAAAAGGCTCAGACCCAAGGGAGAGGGTGATACAGCACCCAGGGCCCGACAGGCTGGAGGCAGAGTCTGGAGGGCAGGGCCCAAGAGGCATGACATGGACAACAGGATGAGGTACCAAGGTCTGGGTCCCAGGGGTGAGCACAAGGGAGGCAGGGCAGGCAGCAGTAAAACACTGCTTCGGACTCCTGCACCTTCTGGGATGTGGCAAGATCCGGTTCAGGCATGTCTGACTGGGCTTCCCTCATCAACCAGCTGATTCCAGAAGCAAACTCAAGGGCTACAAAGACTAGTCAACAAAGAACATTTAAAATAAAAACAAAAAACAAGAAAGACCATTTGAATTACAGGCAGCTTCATTTTTAAAGAACCCAAAGTCTGAGCCCACTGAGTGGCACACAGCAGGTGGGGGGGGTGCAGGGCAGGGGGGCTCCCAGGCCGGAGGCCCTCCTACCTGCCCCGATGTACCGGGACTGCTCCAGCTTGCACCAGAGCACTGGGTAAACTGCCAATGGCCAGATTAGAGAAACCTGGTCTGGGAAGGGGAACTAATATCAGTAGGCTCTGCCAGGAGACCCAGGGAGGGCACCCATGCCTCCTTCCCATAACAGGAGTTCCTTGGGCAAATGACATTTCTGTGTATTTCTGGAACTGTAACTGTAGCTGACCCCAAATTCCTATTTTTGAGTAATCACAAAACAATTTGTGGTCTCAAAACGGAAGCCAGAAAAGCAGAGCATACTCCATTTCCTAACACACGCAGGAGTTCTCGCATATGACAATTTGGAGGTTACATATACCTGGTCAAACAGATAGACTGTGACATCGTCAAAAAACGTCACCGCCTTCTTTTCCTTTTTCCAGTCATCTGGTAGCTGATCAATGGGGACAGCAGCTGAGGGTTTCAATAGGCTCCGTAAGTGCCGGCCGTCCTCATTGCTGAGGATCACGGGGACGGCGTGCTCAGTGTCATCCTCTGACTCGGAGCTGAGGCTGTGCAGGTTGAAAGCCCGCAGGTCCTCATCAGAGTCATCACTGTTTTCGTCCTCCTCGTCTGCATCAATTCCATCCTCGGAGGGGTCGAGCATCCCCGACACGCCGAGTTTCCCCAGGTATTTGCCTTCAATATCTGGCTCCTTCAACTTGGGGCCCTCGGATGGGCTGCCAGGGTGGAGGGTGGAGTTTGCAAAGGCAAGGAGCTCATTGGTGTTGGTTCCAGTGGAGGCGAGCTTGCAGGACTGCTCCTCTTGTGCCTCATAGTCATCACCGCTGCTCAGCTCTGAGTTCAACAGACTCAAGGGACCACTGGCCTCGCCTGCAGGATGATGCGTCTGCTTGGAAAAGTCAGGCAGTGCTGGTTCTGACATTTCCCCCGATTCTAGGTGACTGGAATTTTGTGAAGCAGGCAGACAACTTTGATCTAGCTGGCTATTTTTGGTTTCCAGGCAACTCTCCGTGGCACTAGAACTTTGTTCTGGGGTGACTGGCTCAGGCAGGGGCTGATCTGTTAGCAGAACCAAGGCTGATGCTAAGGATCCTGGGACCCCCTCAGACTTCTTATCAGGCTCAGAATCATTATCTGAGAAGTAGGCAGAGTCTCGGTATGAGTTCTGGGAGCCAGATGCAGAAGTCTGTGAGGTCACTTCTGCACCTCTGTGTCCATCAGCTGCATCTGAGATGACGATGACAGGGTTGGGAAGCAAACCGTTGTGCCCGCCATCACCCTCTGTGGCCGCGTCTGAGGCTGAGGTGCCATCAGGAGCAGGGTGCAGAGTCCATTCAGGGGACTCCAAATTCTCTGTTTCGTAGCCACTGTCTGCGGGTTTATCAGGGGGCAGGAGCTTCTGAGGACTGTGGGAGCCTAAAGAGCCCAGTAAGACTTCATGGGCGTCCACTGAATCCAGAGAGTCCGGGGTCTCCACAGACTGCTCTGAAATTGGAATGGGTGTTGACAAACTGTCTTCTAAAAGGCTGTCTTGACTGGTAGAGTGTGAGGAAAGGGTGGATGCCAAGCCTGTCTCTTTTGTAGCATCTTTATAACTCAACTGATTCAAAGTCTCCACGGCCTCCAGGTTTTTCGCCAGCAGACTGTTACTATGATGGTCTTCTGAAAGCAGCTGATTCCCTAAGTTCTGCCTAAATTCTGGAAGCCTATTACCTATACTCACCTTACTGGCAAAAATGTCATTAACAACAACTGAGTCAGTTTGGGTTAGTTTCAAGGCCTCCTCACTTTGGTGGGTCAAGTCACTGGACCCGTCACTAATCTTATGCATTTTGGCAGCAGTCAAGGGAGGTTCAACTGAGATAGTCACAGAGTCTGGATTTATTTCTTGGCAGAGAGAGTCTTCATGGATACTGACATCTATGCACGTGCATTTGATTTCTCCCTGCTTTGGGAACATTTCTGGAGGTACATTGCAAGGCGTTCCTTCTGTTTTGAGTGAGGTAGGAGGTACCTGCACTTCCGGGGAAGACGGCAATGAGATGTTCAAAGTGTCACCCTTGAGCACAGTACCCATATCTTTACCCTTTGCGCTCATACTTTCCTGCAATAAAGGGAAGTCTAGTTTATTTTCAGCAACCTTAAGCTCAGTGTCTAAAGAGTTTTTACGTGGAGTTTCTAATACAGTTTCAGTAAAACCAGCATTTTTAAGTTCTGTTTGAAGATCATTTATATGTTCTTTGCTAGACAATGAATCTGTTAGTAGGTTTTTCTCTTGAAGAAATAAAAAGTTTTCTGTCAATTCTTGGACATTCAGAGGACTAAAATTATCTTGGTGCATAAGGTTTTCTGATATGCAAAGAGGTTCACTGTCAAAAAGCATATGGGGCTTTTCTCTCTCAAAGTGGCACGCTGTTGCTGACTCTTTGGGGTCACCCAAACTTGAACTTAACGAGGCTGGCTTAAAATCAGTTTGAACACCATTTAATTCCATTAAGTCAAATATTTTTTGGTGACAGGGCAAATCCTCTGCTTTGTCAAGATCACTAAATATATCATTGAAAGGGCTCTCAGGGCCCCTGGCAGCATGTACGTCCTCAGGTATGCTGGGGTCTTTGGGGTCTGCACTGCCTGGGAAGAAATCCTCATCTGCACTGGACTCCTCAAATTCCAGACTCCTGAGTGTCAGACACTGGGGTGCCTCCCCACTTATCTGTTCTGGATTACCCACTTCAGTTGTGAGCAGCACAGGGGGGCAAGCAAGCTCCAAGTTGCTACCACTTTTTTCTTCTAACTGGATATAATAGTCGCTTCCAACAGAAAGGTTGTGGGCGTCAAAAACGGGAACCACCCCGGGTGCCTTCCGGGTGACATCCAGGCCACTGTCATCTTGCTTCCCGGGCCCAGGATCCGAAAGCGAACTCTCAAAAACTTCAACTGGAAAGAAGATGCTTGTGTAGGACAAGGCATCATCTGGGTGGCCCCTACTGCGCTCGTCGAAATGGTCATGCTTGGCTGCCTCCCAGACATACTCAAAGCTCAGGCCCTGGCTGGTTTCAGTCACAGTGAGGACTTCCTCCATCTCACGACCAAGCCGATCCCTGGCAAAGTGGTCGAGGATTGGGAAGGCAGCATTGCTTGAAGCATCTCTGCTATCGGCATTGGGTTTAAGAGCGTTCCACTGCTGTTCAAAGTCGACCTCTGAGTCCCTCTGGCTTTGCATGCGCAGGTAGGTGAGCAGTCTATGCACGTCTTCAGCCGCTGGTCTCTTGTCTGGTGACAGCCAGCAGAACTGTAAAACTTCATACCTGAGCAACACACGAGAGGTATCAACGGACTGACAATAAATTGTTTTAAAATCCCTAAGCCAACTCAACACCTCAAAAATTTCTACACTGACCACAGAAGTACAGCTCATGGCAAGGTCATGAAGAAAAAGGAAACAGAGAAAACTGGGCCCCCTGAGTTTCTGTGTTCTCAGGACATTTCACAGTGTCACTGCAGTCCCTCTACCTTGTCATTTGTTTTTCTGGTGTTTATCCAGTGACTTACCTGCTGAATTTAGAAATGGTTTTAACATGCTCTTCCCTTAAAACAAGCGCCACCATATTCTGCGTAGTGAAGAATGCATTTGTCCTATGTTTTTGGATTTACTCACCTTGTGAGAACTCATAGATAAACAGTTACAGCTAATCTCTGACCTATTCTCCCCATAAAAAGAGACACTGCGATCTCATGCAGCGCATGGTTTCCACAGATCATAAGAGCTGAAAGTGGAGGGAAAAGAGTAGCACATGGGGTCCAAAGTAGGCAGCAACCAGGAGCTGGCTCTTCAAAGGGTTGGCTGGATACAGCCACCCTCTTAAACTGTAGCCATGAGTGGAAGGGAAGACAAAGATAACTTGAAAGTATTACAAGTATACATCAAGTACAGAGTATATGTCAGGTTACTCTGGGTGAAACAGCTCTGGTAACTTAAGACAGCTGAGCAATGCCTAAATGCACACCAGCTGGGCATGTGAGTTGTGTTGCAGACAGAGGCCTGGAGAGATGTGACCCTGATCCTAATTGGAAATGGAGTTAAGCACTAGTCTGAAGACTCCTAAGACTTGAATGTGTTTTGCAAATGTCAATATACATTATGTAAATCAGTTTCAACTGTCAATTTAAATATTATCATTTATCTGCTCTTCTCACAAATTAGGTATCACTTATGTAAATAGCCTCATTTTCAAACAATTCCACAATAGGGAACACCCTTAATATTGACTTTTCTAATTAGGTCAGACTTCACATCTTTTCTTATTGCATGTAATACATAAATTCCCATTTGTTCTACCCATTTTTCAAAAACATTATATTTTAAAAATAGATGTTAATTCTAATTCTAAAATCAGTCATGAATTACATACAAATGCCAACAAATACCACTTATTGTTTAAAAATAGGGAATACATAACTAACACTTAAGGAAACACTGTTTCCTTACCTTTTTGTAGATAACAAACCATAACAGGAAGCTACTCACCATCTATCAGAATAAGGCTGCTCCAGCTGAGGCTTTGGGAGTTTCGTGTCTCTCTCTCGAATGACCTGATTGAGAACATCTAAATTGGAAAGGTTGGAATAAGGCTGAGCAGCATTATCAAATAGTTCCCAAAGGGTCACACCCAGGGACCTGTGGGAAAAAGAAAATGGTTATTTCTCTCTCCCTTTAGATGTCAGATTTTTAACACCTGTTTTTCTTTGTACAGTTATTAGTAACTTTAAGGATTTGGTGTGTACTGACGGCTCTTTAACATGATTAAAAAAAGAGGCATTTCCATTAAAATATGGACCATAACAAGAATGCCTCCTATTTTCAACTGAAAATTCTAGAAGTTCTGGCCAATGCAAAAAAATATGAAACAGAAGAAACAGGCATAATCATAGGGAGGAGTTAGTGACTGCCAACTTAGAAATGTACATTATTTGAAAGATCATTAGAATGATTTAAGAGTTCAGCAAAATGGTTAGATACAAAACAAATATCCTTAGTTCTGAGTTTTTTTGGTAGGAAAAAAAATACCATTCACAACAGTAAACACCAGAAACTATCTAAATCATTAGAAGAACAAGCCATCTCTTCCTTGTTGGACCCAAGGAAAACGGCTTTTCTTGTAGTTACTTCTAAGAGTTGAGTTCTGTTGCTATTATGAAGGGTCTTCCTTCCCTTACCTCTGCTAGCTATTTGTGTTCCACAAGAGGCCACCTGCAGCCTCTCACTGCCTCCAGGTAAGTGGCCATTACCATGGGCAGGAACACCCGACTTCTGTACCTGTCTCACTCACTCTCTGTTGTTCCCATGGGAACAGCTTCTGCTGCTGAAGTCACATGAATACTTCCTTCTCACCATCTCTATGTGGCCCCTGCACCTCTCTCCCACCATTTACTGCCCTTCTGCTGTGTATGACAGTCTCCTACTTACTCCAACAGTTCCCATCTGGGAAGCTTTAAACTAACACGGTAGTATCTACTCACCCCCAACTTTTAGTTGATGGACACAGGTGTGGCAAATTGTATTTTTAAAAAAGAAATTGTATTTTTGAAATGTTCCCTATTGATTTTGATATCTAGCCAGGTTTGGGTACTGATGAAACATTTATGTGACTTTGATCAATACCCACCAGAATGTTTATTTGAATAATAAACTGTACTGAATAAGCTTATTATTTGACATTGTATAGTACAATGTAACTTATGAGTTAAATTCTCTCATGCTTATCTCAAGCATCAGTGAGAAAAATCAGGATATTCAGTATCTAAGTTGAGAGATCATTTCTATCAAAGGAAATAAAATGACCCCAATTTACCAAGCCAATTCAAGACGTAAGAAGTACTTTCTCTCTGGCACAGAACTTCTAGGGGTACAAGTATGTTTTGGATACAAAATAAGTTTAAGACACTGACAACCACTTTAGCAAGTTACATTTAACCAAAAAAAAAAAATTCCAATGGGGTACTGACGACCTAAAAGGTGGTTTATATGACAGGTGGCAAAGCGAGCGTCAGCACCGCCAGGCTTTCCTCGGCCTCAGCCATACAACTCGAGTCTGCTCGACTTCTCCATGTCCTTGATCTAACTCCCCACCTCTCTCCAGTAAGGCCCAATCCAAAACCAACCCCCTTCCAGCCCCCACCTACCTCATTCTTCAGAGAACGCAAAGTATGGGCTTTCCCAGCTCCCCGCCCCACCACTTCAAACATGGTCCTTTCTTATCCCCTCAGACAGGCCACACAGGAAGATGAGACGTGTCTCCCCACCACAGTCCATGCCTGCCCGAGCTCCCAGTTCTGCCCCATCCAGTTTCTTCCCAGAGAACTGCCATCATCATTGCCTCTCATTCCTGTCTAGCCAACTCTTCACCACACACTGGCTCTTGCCTCCTTAGGCACCACTGGCCTCTTTCTTCTGGGAAGAAGAACGTCGTGTAGTTCTTCCCCCTCTTCCAGCAAGCTCTGTGAGAGAAGCCCCTCTCGTGCACCCCCAGCACAGGGAGTGCGAGCACTGCCAGCCCTGCCACCAGACTCCTCAAACAGGCTCTGTCTGTTTTCAGGTCAGTCACCTTGCTAAGAATAGTAAAAATAGAGATGAGGCAGAAAAAGCAAATCTTCTTAAAGGAACCAAAGAGTAGATAAGATAGCAGAGAATTAACAGGACAGAAAACTAGAACTCTGAGAACTAAGCAGAACACTAAAACCACCTTTGACCTGGGGCATCTGAGGAAGCACAGAACTTGGGCGTCTGTGTGTTCAGTTTACAAGGCTCAGTGTGGGTGGTGGTGGTGGCGGAGGATAGGCCAAAGCCCTAGGTAAGGGGGGTCTCACAGGGAGACCTCCTCACAGTGGGAATAAACCCGCCTCAGTCCTCCCTTCAAGAGACTAAAAGACAAGCTGCCCTGGCAGCGAGGCGCTATGAGTGAGTGAGTGTGCACTTGTAAGTGTTAGTGTGGGGGTCATCTTCGTGAAGTCATAACCACAGAGCTGGCCCTTACTTGGACTTGCAGTCCAAATTCACACCACCTGAGTGGTCAAAAACATCTCAAGCTGAATAAGCTCTAAACTAGCATAGTTATAGTTCCTTTACATAGCAGGTACCCAGTTATGCTACCAAAGCACATGCAGATCCTCTCTGGAGGAATATTCCTTTGCTCCAGGTTTCCAAGATCCTTACCATAAACACGCCCCCAAGGAAACAAGTGACCATTAAGAACCAACAAGGTCAAATCTACAGACTTCAGATACTGGAATTATCTGAGGCAGAGCATAGCCCAATCATTTAAAACCCTGGGGAAAATTTTTAAAAATCAAATAGACCTCCTAACACTGAAAAATTAGTAACTGAACTATACAACTTAATAGAAAGATTTAATAGAATAGACACAGCTGAAGAGAGAATTTTTGCAAGAGAAAATCAGTGGTTAGAGCATAGGTCTGAAAAATTAGAGTGTGGCTCAGAGTCAAAGGATGGAATATATGTATATAAAAAAAAGGAGATTTTAAGAGAAAGAAGACAGAGCAAGAAGGCATAACATAAGTGTAATCAGACTTCCAAATGGAGAGAAAATGGGGCAAAGGCAGTATCTGAAGGATAAGGGCTAAGAACAATGACCCACAGATCTGATAAGCCAAATCAATCCCAAGCAGAACCACCTAAGAAATCCACATCTATACACACCATAGTGAAATTATAAAAAAACAAAAGACAAAGAGAAGAGTTAAAAGCAGACAGAGAGAAAAAGTCACATTACCTTCAAAGAGCTTAGGCAGACTTACAGCTGACTTCTCAATAGCAACAATGGAAGCCAGAAGACAGCAGAATGAGATCCTCCATATGCTGAGAGACAATCAGTTGCATCAAGTAAAAATATATTTCAAGAATGAGGACAAAATTAAGGTATGTTCACACTTACAAAAAACAGAGTCTGTTACCATCAGACCCTCTCTGAAGGAAATTCTGAAGGACACACTTCAGATTAAAAAGGGAGTGACTCCAGATGGAAGGTCTGAGATAAAGAAAAATAAAGAATGAAGAGCAAAGAGATTTGCTTATGTTGATAAATGTAAAGAAACGCTAATGCTAAATAATAATAATGTCTTGTGGGCTTAAAAGAAAAAATTAAAATACCCAACAATAACAACATACAATTTTATGTATGTGTGGTACATAGATAAACATAGTTAAAGTGTGTTAAAGTATTCTGAGGCCCTTGTATCATTGTTCAGAAAGAGGGCCAAGATTAGATGAAGGGAAATCAAGTACAGATGTTATAATTTTTAGGAATTATAGGAATATTGGGTAACCAATAAAAGCATAGGAATAACATATACAGCTCCCAAACTAAGAGGAAAAAAAACAGTTAAAAAAAATCAACCCAAAAGAAGGCAAGAAGAGAAAAAGAAAATAGGAAAAGCAGGACCACCACAAAAAATGTAGTTATACATGATGAAAGCTGTAACAGAAATTGTAAGTCAACGACTTAAGACACGCTTTTCAACCTCCATTAAACTGACCTCTTATAAACCACAGTATCACATAATGCTCCAAACCTCCTTCTGCCTTTTTTTCCCTCACTTCAAAAAATACTTATTAAATAATTTTTATATGTCAGGCTCTGTGGTAGGCACAGAAAACAGACTTGGTTTCCGCTTTTATGGAGCTTATTACTGTCAAATGGGTAGGAGAGAAGTTAATTATGTCCCTGCAGTTGTGATAACTGCATGGTGTCAATAAACTGTCTTTTCCAACACCATCGGGCACTCTGTGTCCCTACATCTTATTCGCTGAAGAAAGTATTCAAGGAGAAAGAAGTCAGGGCTTTGCCACACAAAAGCTTAATAGAATGGTAAATTAATACATACCAGATATTACTATACTTAGTTTGATCTGCAGTTAGTAGTCTGTCTTGAAAGCTGGTTACTAATTCTGGAGCAGTCCACCGCAGAGGGAAAATTTTTTTATCATCTGTTTCAATATAATCCTCCTGTTTTGTTAGAAAGCATACAGAATTTTGAATTCTATTGTACTTTTTTAGTGAGCTCAAATTTAATTCCTGGTTATTCTCAGAACACACACACTCTACTCAAAGGATATATCAGAGAAAGAAAAGAGATTTCCTGGGCAGAAGTAGGTAAAGGTTTCTCTGAAGCCGCCTGGGCTCGGGAGCTGGTCTCTGAGACATGAACACTCACTCAGTCATCCTTCCTGGAAAAGGAAGGTACGCTGTGTCTGATGCATAGAACACAGATCCTGAGGAAAACATCCTTTAAAATATGCTGGGCCTTATGCCCCAAGTAGGGGAGTGGTGCCAGTTAATGAGTAAGAGCTCAGGCTTTAGAATCAGTCAGACTGGGTTTTAAGTCTACGCTCAGCCATTTACCAACTAAGTGACTCTGAGCAAAAATGCTAAGTTTTTCTCCTTATTTGTAAAATGAGGAAGACATAAGATCTACCTCCCTTTATGGTGAGGACTAAATGACATAAACTACTTCACAGTGCTTGGTACACGACCAGTGCTCAAGACACTGCAGCTGCTATGAAGACAAATAACCAAATTATATCTTTCAGTTACCAAGGTCTGTGAAAATGACCCCTTTGGTTCTCATGAGAACCCCGTAACACAGGAGAGGTATTCTCCTCATTGGTGCTGCGTAGAAAATGAGGGTCAATGACTTATCCAAGGCCCCCTGACAGTGTGGAGCCAGCACAACTGCCTTCTCTCCCCACGTCACGCTACCTCACTCAGGCCCACACACACACACACACTCAGGCACACACACACACACACACACACACACACACACACACGGAAACATCATCTACTTACTTCCCTTGGGGATATATTATTGCAGAGTTTAAAAATCTAAATCCCAAGCTTACTGAATTTGAACCAAAACTTTACTGAATACCTTAACATTTATATGGCATATATATTTTATGATACAGGTGGCAATAATTATTATTGCCCAGTTCATATTAAAATTCACATGCACCATCAAACTATTATCAATTACAATGCATAAAAGTCTTTTTAAGCAAAGCATTTGGAAAGCTGTCACAAAACCTCAGGCACAAAGCCGTTGGTTTAGACAAACCATACGTCAGAAGCTAACTCTACCATTAAAATGACTAGAACAAACTCCTCTTGGCAGAGGGGTTTAACTATGCTTTGACCCCAACATGACCAAGATGTTTACCCCCTCCTCCAAACACCAACTGGCATTTTGTGATATTACTACCTAATGACAGTGAAATTAAATCAGATTAAGGACAGAACCTTTAAAACCTTGGCTTACCTTGTATCTGCTGAACCCTATTCCATAATCTCCCACTTTCACATTTAAATCCGAGGTAAGAAAACAATTCCGCAGGGCTAAATCACTGAAAACAGAAAGAGCAACATGAACGTGAGAACAAGGAGAATCTGCAGCCAGGAAAATGCGACATGAAAGTGCTATGAAAGGCTTTCTCTAGCAATCAGAGTAGTGTGCTGTGCAACCTGCTTAATAATTAATGTTTTAAAATTCTCTTTTACAGAAAAAGGTCTATATACCATATTCTTCATTACTTAAATAATGAAAATGATCGTAAGGTTAAATACTGACCATATCTGTATAGGGTTCAGCATTAACACAAAACTTATGGCTTGTTTCCTACTATTTTAGGACTGACCAAGAAAGAATTCTAAAATACTGTTGACTAAACTGCCTGAATATTATTTTTTTACAGTAACTTGTAGCACTTGAGTAATGGTCTAACAATAGTTTATTTATTATAAACAAAGATTAGTAAGTTACAACTTCAAATACCCCCAAATAATCTACATCATTTAAAATGTTTGTTTTTAACTCCTTTTTCAAAGATATGCAAGCATTACAAGGAGGCCCTTTCCAAATTATGATCCCCCCTTTGACCTCCATCTTTCCACAAGGAAGGTAAAGGGCTTATTTTTAAGATTTACTTAAAACAATTAACTTTTATACTTTATTTAAGAACAGGTTTATTTTCAAAAACAATTTGAAAAACAAAAACTATTTTTTTCTAAAGGAACTTCCCATGGAGACACATTAATTTTTGGGGATTTTGCTTTTAGCCCTTCAGAATGTTTTTAATAATCAATTAGCATATGAGTAAAAGAAGCCACTAAATTAAAACAGAAGGAGACCTAACTTACTGTTTTGAATCATAAATAAAATTGATCAAATATGACTTTCTATAGTACAAAATTTTAAATGTTTTGTCTTTATATGATTGTAGAAGATAGACTTATTCAACTAATTATTAAATTCGTGTTTTCAAAGATTTTAATTTCCAAAGCTCCCATGTCAGAAACAGAACAATAAGGAGGATGCCCACAACAGCCAACACCGCTGTGACTTGGTGACAGCTGGTGCACAGCACCAACTCAGTTATACAAATGGTTGACATTTACGGAGCACTTGACTTTATGCTAGGCGCATCTCTATGCACTTTCCATGTGCTGACTCACTGAATCTTCACGACAAAGCTCTGAGGTGGATACTGCTACATTCCCAACTTACAGATAAGGAAACCATGGTACAGTGAATCAAAGTAACTTTGCTGGGGTCACAAAGCTAACAAGGTACAATTCAGCAGTGTTTTCATCATGTCACCATCAACTACCATGTTAACCAGAGCACGGCCCACATGTGAGGTCAGTCCTCCACACACCTGTGATCTGAATTTCCAGTCAGTTATTACCAAATGCCTCTCTGCACTGTTTACAAGTGGTGACTTCCATGGTCCTCCAACCAGACGCCTTCAGGCCTGTGGAGGCGTCTGGGAGAAACCTCAGACACCAGACTCACTGCTACAAACTTCCAGTCTTTTGGAAGTTTCTTTTGGAAGGGAGGTCAGGCAGGAGGGCAGGCCATTTGTGGGCAGAAAAATGAAATGCTGTAAGTCAGGCAGCTTTACCCGCCGAGATGACAGCGGCAATGAGAGGGGACTGCTTGCAGTTTTGCCAGCAGAGGGGTTTTCTGTACGGGGCACCACTAACAGGAATTTCTGGAGTTTCTATAGAGAGATCCTTCTCCATCTTCCCACAGCTCCCTCCATAGACCAGAAGAAAGCTGGGTGCCAGCATTCCCATGGGGCCATGGGTCCTGCAGCCGGGGTACTGTCTGAGCACTCGGCACCCCCTCCCCGGCCATTTGAGCCGCTGACTCCAGGGATGCTGCCTTCTCCCACCTGCTCTGCTCCTCACCCTGCTCCACTAGGTCTTCAGATACATCACATGTGAAGGTTACATAAAAATAACATGAAAAGTTATATAAGCAACAGGCTTTCACTGCAAAGGCATTTTCATACCCTGGGACAACTCAGCCACTATCTCATCTCAGAAAAGGAGAGATGCTTCCATCCCTTAAAAACTGGAGGAGACAAGCAGGGGAAAAAAATCAATGATGTGATTGGGGAACTTCCTCTAAACCCACTCCCTCCCTCCACCCAAACCTGGAAGTAGACACAGCGCAGGGGAAAAGCATGGACAGTCAGGAGGCCTGGCAACAGCGCCACTAAAAAACGATGTGACTTTGGGCAAATGTACTTAGAGTAACAGGAATTGTGTCCAATTCCTCAGACACAAAAATTGGGATATGTGTATTAAGAGCTAACTCACAAGGTTTTTACAAGGATAAAATAAAAATACATATGAAATGTTTTCAAAACATGAAAGTGCTATCCAGATTCAAGATATGGTATCATTCGATTAAAAATCAGTGAAAAATATTCCCTGTAAGTCTAATAATGTGCAAAGCTAAAGAACAGAAGAAAACAGAGGTGTAACTTCTGAACAACAGAGGTAGCTCTTGACGTCAATGGCGGGTTTTGGTCAGGAAATACAAACATACTCAGTATATTCTTCCTTCAAGTTGAAAAACAGGTCCAGTGAGGAGGCTGCCAAAGGATCCCGCCTTGAAAGGCTCTCTCAAGGATCTGGCTCTGTTCCCCTCGGCTGGCAGCACCCACTGTTGCCTTGCCCATCAGGGACTGTGTGGGACTCAGCCTCTGAGCGGAGCTGACGGACACAGGAAGTGGGAGTCCCCCATACCAAAGAGCTCTAAGGAGCTGCCCACCCCATCTTCAGAAGGATGGCTCTAATAGCAACAGCTGAATGTGGCCAGAGCCATTTTCACAATTGCCCACACCTCTATTTATGTCACCTGCCTAGGCTTTCCCAAGTAAACTGAATCCCCGATGAAAGAGTAACAGATAGGAAGCTAAGTAACTGAAAGTTACTGAATATTCTTCTAGGGCTGGGTATCCATTATCTTATATAACCTTGACACCAGCACTACAGGGAAAGATTACCCCCAGTTCATGGAAGAAACAGGCTAGGGGGATGAAGTAAAATGGCTTGTACAGTAAAGTTGATGAGAGGTGAATTCACACCTTCAACCTTGAAGTCAGGCTTTGCTTACCACACACACTGCCTTTGGCAATTCCAAAAGTTAAACAAAAAAAAAGACACTCTGCTATTTATCACTCAAAAGATGGGATGTGGTTCAAAGAGTTACACGCGGCAGATTAAAGCGAGAGGATTCTGATATGGCACAAAGAGGAGCCTGGGCATTCTGACAGCCTGTGCACCTGCTTACTGGGTCATTCCTTGTTAGCTCAACAACACAGTTTTTACTGAGCACTTACTGAATGTCTGGCACCTGCCAGGCTCTGGGGGTACAGAAAACATTTCCACTGTGAAATTCTGTGTAGACCCTGAGGAAAATGCCACTGGCTGGAATGTGGCCCACCACTCCTGGCCCAGGTTTTGAGGCCTGGGGACAAAATAGGGATAAAGCTTTCTGTTTTGAGTTTTCTCCAGGGCTGGGCCAGAGCTGATACTGAGGTGGACATCTGGGCCTATATATGGTCTCAACTTCTGGTTCTGGCTTCTCTTCCCAATACAAGCAGTTACAAAACAGGGCAAAATATAAAAACCATTGCAAAAGATATGGAATCCTGAGAGTAACAGCTCCTTGGGAGGTGGAAATAGAGCAGACTCGGAGGCTGCCAGAGAGACTGCGTTGCAGGGCAGAGTACAGAACAGGAGTGAGTAAGCTCAAAGAAAGTGCCCCAGAAATCTGAATGAGTGCCCGAGTCTTGTCCATAGCTGACTACTAAGCACCAAGCTGCACAGGTATGTATGTGGCCTGGAAGGAACATGGGGCCTAGAGCTGATGGGACACTCCAGGGGTCCCACAGAGCAAGACACACATCATCCTTCTGACTAGTCAGCATGGGGAGACTTCCCTCAACATCCTGGTATTTGGTTGACACCCCTGGCAGTCCTTAAGAAGGCGGCTCCTCCGACCTAAAGGCTCCACTGACTCTCCTCTAGGCCCGACTTAAAAGATGTCTAAAACCAGGACAGCACTGAGCTGCCAATCCACTGCCCTTCAGGATATAACCACACACTTTCAGTGGTGGGTCTCATACTCGGCATGCACCATAATCACTTGCTGGGCAAGTGAAAACACAGGCCTGGCGTGGGGCAAGTGCCACCTATCAGACACCCCCACCCCCAACCAGAATCCAGGTCTTAACAAGAAAGCCAAAACAGATCAGGATGAAAGACGGCCATTCCAGACCATTAATTTTCCTGTGGGCCTAAAAGTCACCAAAAAAAAATGGAACATCTAATACTTTACAAACAGCAAATGATTTTAAAGTGAGGGCTATAGTCCTAAGACCAAGTGGCCTGCCATCTGGAGACATGGCCTGTCCTTTTCTTCTCTGCTTTGCACATGCTTCTCTTCCCTGACAATACAGCACAGGTGGCCGCACCAAGCCCAGGGCTTTGTCCTTCCTGATCTTCTCAGGCACACATACACACATTTTGCATGAATTGGGTTATATGAATACTAGGCTTTTTCTGAGTCTTCCTAAATACAGCCTTTTTTTTTTTTAAAGAAACTATCTTCTTCCTACCCCTCCACTCATTCCAGGTAACGTGTTTTAGCAAACTGGTAGATATAATCTTACTACATTTTTTCCATACTTACATACATAGCACATACACAAATACACAAGTAAGGGGAACAGGAGCATTTGCCTTACAAAAATGTGATATGCCTACTTCTCTGCAGCTTTCTTTCAACATCATGATGTGGAAATTCCTCCAAGTCAACTAGCAGAGAGTCCTAAATCTTTCTTCACAGCAGCTGTGTGATATTTCATGGTGCAGATATGCAGGAGTGTACTCCGGCTCCCCTGGTGAACGCTCACTTCTTTTCACCACCTCCAACAAAGCTGCAATGGACAGTTCTGACACACAGTCTTCAATCCTCATGCTATTTCCCGTGGAAACATACTAATTATAGCTATTGCCCGATGGCTTTCAAAGTGTGTTTTACATGCAG